CCCCCCCCCCCCCCCCCCCCCCCCCCCCCCCCCCCCCCCCCCCCCCCCCCCCCCCCCCCCCCCCCCCCCCCCCCCCCCCCCCCCCCCCACTTTCAAATTCTATATTGTCCATTGTTGGTTTCAGTTTAAATCGAATCCATGTATTATGTATGACACTATTGATAAGGCCACGATGAATAGTGTTGTTCTCAATAAAATATATGATAATTTTCCTGATACTTATGGGATAGCCTTCGATATTGTTACAATATAATACTGTTACGTGGTGGAAAAATTGTATTTTTTCACTGTAATTGATGAAGAAAGAACAGTTGAGTATCTCCGCTCTATGAAGCAATTTTTTTTCTAGAAGAAACGATTATAACCATTGTTCGATGACCATGCTGGAGTGTGTGTGTTGGAGAATATGTCCACAAACGCACAACCTATTATTGCTTCACAATCTTTCAATGTGCACAGAACAAGCGATGTTTCTTCTTCGAGGGTGCCCTTTTTCTGTCGATGAGTTGATTCATTTTGTGAGCAAGTGATAAGAAAAGTGTAAAGGTAGTGTTTCATGACTTCTGACTCCTCGAACACTGATAAATATCAGCTAAACAATGGCTATTCAATTCAACTTGCAATTGACTTAAATAGTTTAATTACATTGAAACTTATTGATAACCATGAAACAGTTAGTTCTGTTTCATTTACCGATCATCAATGTTCTTTACTGACGCATAAACTATGTGACACGTCAAATGATCTTTATGAATTATTAATTGATCTCTTATCAACAGCAGAATCTTCAACTAATTCTAAGATATGTGTTATAAACGATGATCGTATTAATGTGTCATTTCCAATCCACTTCGGTAGTCGAAATAAAACGAAGCTATGGTCGTTTACAATCGCATTTCTGAAGCCAGCGTCGTTTAATGATAACAACACTGAAGAAATTACATTAGATCCTCTTGATTGGACTGAAACAAGATTATTAGGACATCAAATCATGGATGATATGATCGATTATTTGCGAGATCTTCGTCTTCGACCTACATGGCGCCCAGTTCCATTGACTGTGCAACAGTCATTATCACAACAAGATCTCCCGTGGAAAAGTCAATCTGCACGGGAAGTCTATGATGAAGTTCGATCACTTATTTTACCGTATCCATTGGGTAATATTCATCCACGGTTTTGGGGTTGGGTAATTGGTACTGGTTCTCCCATTGGAATTTTAGCTGAGCTAATTACAGGAACGATGAATAATCAATCATGGGGTGGTAATCAAGCAAGTATCTATTTAGAACGTCAAGTATTGACATGGCTCAAGAGTATCATGGGTTTTCCCACAGATGAGACTTGTTCAGGTGCACTCGTGAGTGGTACCTCAGTAGCAACGATCGTTGCATTGGCAGTGGCTAGAAAAAAATTTCATGGTCGTAAGATGAAAATCTACTGTTCAACAGATGCACATAATTGTACTCTTCGAGCTGTCGATATTCTTGGCATTGGAAAAGAAAATATCATTATTGTTCCGACTAATAAACAAAGGCAAATTGATTTGCAGGTATGTTAAAGTGAAAATAATTTGTAACTTTTCCATTTCCGTCTTTCAGATGTTGGAAAAAGCAATCGATTTAAATTTTGGTGGAGTTATTGTTGGTAGTGCCGGTACAGTTGGCACGGGTGCTATTGATGATCTCAATGGATTGGCTGATTTATGTGCTCGACATCCTAATGATCTCTGGTTTCATATAGACGGTGCTATTGGAGCAGTAGCTTGCTGTTCGGCACTTCTTCGACCTTTATTTATTGGTCTTGAACGAGCTGATTCAATTGCATTCGACTTACATAAATGGCTTTTTGTTCCATACGAATGCGGATGTATTCTAATTCGTGACGGTGATTTACATCGAGCAGCATTAGGTCAATCAGCTTCGTATTTATCATTGATGGATGGTGGTGTTACACCGAGTACTGGTGCTATGCTTTTTAGTGATTATGGATTAGAATTAGCGCGTAGTATGAAATCTCTCAAAGTTTGGATGACATTTAAAACTTATGGACTCGAGACATTCAGTCGAATCATAGAACAAAATATTGATCAAGCAAAATATTTTGTTTCATTAGTTCAGCAACATTCAGATGAACTTGAATTGCTCAGTACAGGTCCACTGAATATTGTCTGTTTTCGTTACATTGTACCACATTTGAATAATGTGGACGCGGAGACAACAATGAACAAATTTAATAAACAACTATTAGTTGCTATTCAAGAACGTGGCATAGCTGTTGTGTCAACATTTGTTATCGATAATAATGTATTTGCATTAAGAATGTGTATAACAAATCATCGAACAAAACGATCTGATCTTGATTTATTTCTTGAACAACTTCTTGCCGTAGCTCGTGAACTGTTAACTACACCTGAATTTTCTAACACTGCATAATTCATAGTTACTCAAAGTGATATTTAGATTTCCAGAGAAATAAATAAAAAAAATCACCGAAATTTTCTTTTTTTGGGTGTGAGTGTGGAGACAATCGAATTAGCCACATTCACACCCGTTCACTTCAGATTGAATCATGAAAAAGCAAACGTTTATCCGCTATCGAATTTACATTTAGTAAAGTTACGATTAAGTGCTTTAACGATAACACAGCGTTTCTTCAACTCTCGAATAGCTATTCGAGTTAATTCAGCCTTTAATCTGCCACATTCGCGTTCACTATTTAGAATTTTTTGTTTGATTTCTTCTATTTTTTGTTGTAGCTCTTGAATGGGTGTGGGTGTATGTATGCCGGTGTCAAAGACTATCAAATATAGTTTTAGTGAAGTGATAAGAACACATCATGGTGAAGGCAATTTTGTCCATCTAGAGTATTTGATATTCGTATTCTTAGATAAGATGCATAGAAATGAACGAGAGCTTGTGTAATGAAGAATTCTTTATTTGTCTGCACGGAAACGAAAACTACCAGTTATAGGAAGCGTATACAAAAAATCGATTGGCAAGTAGTAACACTAGTAGAAAAAGATCAGTTTCAATTGAATGATAGAAGATTATAAAATCATTCACCCGGTTCACTGGCTTGGGTATCCATTTCACCATCACTATGATCATTGCTGTGATGATCGTTCAAAGAAGACCCTTTAGGTAACATAGCTTCCGTTCTTTTAATTAGTTCATCGATTTCTCTCATTTGTTTGCTTTCCGACACCATCTTTGGATAATCAGTTTTATAATCCTGTTTTATTTTTTCATACTGATACCAGAGCCTCTTAGCCCAATGTAAATGTTTCAATGCACCTTCTATATTATTATCTTTAGGCATTCTTTCACCTCGTTCACGAAAATATATTGCAATATCACGTGTCATACGTCGCAACAAGTCCGAATCGAAATCAAATATTAGAACATAGTCGTCGTATTGGACCGCCCAATTTCCATGATACATAGTATTATGACAGAAAATATATATAGATAGGTATGGCGTATTGGTGATAAGATCAGTAAATATATGCCTGTAGCGTTCAACAACTTTTGGTACGATCTTCTCTCCCATTAGTCCAGAAGTAATAAAGAAGATGCGTTTGTCTTGATTTTTTTCAAAAGCTGCGAGGCAACTTTCCTCGTCAGCAAATGCTTGTAGAAGAAAGATGACACCTTCGAATTCTATCGTGCTTGGAATATCACTAGCGAGTAGATCGTCATAATCTTTATCCAGAAGCATTGTCCAATTTTCACAGCGCGGATCAGTATTACTTCCAAAGGCTTTTTTCAAATGTTGATATTCTGCAGGATTGGCAATAGCAGGATCAAGCCAAAATATCATATGATTTGGCCTCTCATCGTCATAGTCTGCAGGTGTATCAGCTGGAGATTCAGCTTTTGCCATCTAGAAATAGCTGAAATTCCAAAGTATATCTATAAATCGAAATCAACCGAAAGAGATACCATATTAAAAAGGATTAAAATCTGTTGTGAACGAACATGGGTGACAAAATTCTCGGTTTCAATAGTTAGTAACGTTATGTTAAGTTCTCAATTACTAAACCATTTCTCCCAATAGACTGGAATCATTCGATTGCCCATGATAATTAGACTCAAAGTTTTTCTTTTGTGATTTAATTTCCTGAGTTTCATCCGATCCGTGTGAATCACGACGAGTATAGATGATCGAATTCTTACGTCATATGAGGGCTAAAGTCACTAAAACTGTGTTAAGTTTTAATTCTATAGCAGCGTATCCTTATTGGAATAATTGCTTGGCATGAAAGTTTTTCTCGTTCAAAATTTCCCAAAATATTTTTGACATCTAAGCCAGAACTTGTTTTGCTTGCTCAAACTTTGACACATTTCTAATAAGCAGAAGATATGTTTTATCGTGAATTTTACACTTAGAGGATAAAAAAATTATCTCAAAAAAATGATGATCAAACTCTTGTGTGTGTCGATTTTCCCAACTTCAATTCGTGTGATTATGGATGTCAGTTATTACAGGGACACCTAGAATTAGAATCATGATTACTGTAATCGCTTTTACGCAGTTATTGTTTTAAAAATAAAAATGACTCACCACATCTATTTGTAGTTCAAAATAGTGATCTTGTCGCTACGATTTTTTTTCTTGTTTTTCTGTTTACTCAAAAACCAGTCATATGACGCTTGACAATTTTTGCGTTCTGACATCAGCACATGATTCAAAGAAAGAGTAAACTGAAATGACTGCTTAAAATTTTAAGTTAACTAACACATATAGAATGCAAATTTAATTATTTGTAAGGCAAACATTGTGTTTGTCTCACTGCTTTGCACACATATCGTTCACGGAAAGAGCAAAAAACGTTATTATTTGATGAAACTCAATGAAATGTTTCCGCTGAATAATTGCATTTTTTTCCGTGAAAACTTAAACTATATTTTCCTGTGTTTCCTTTTAGGACTGTTCTGCTAGAAAATTTAAGTTTTATAGATATGAATAATAGCCAAGGATCATCTCAGCATGCATATGTTAATCAATTTAATTCGGAACATAGTTGATGGATACGAGTGTTACAAGGTGACGTGGACAACGTTTAAGAGAATTCAGCACTCTTAAACATAGATGCGTTTTTCCTAGCTAAGAATTATGGTTTAGCGCAAACAGGTGTATATTTTCCTTTCATTGAAAAATTATTTTCTATCTTAGCAGCGTTTTTCAAAAGTCAAACATATTTTCTCAATTGAACTTTTCACCGATATTAGATTTACATTTGTTAACTGAATGATATTAGTAGTTCTAAGACACTTCTAGTGAAAATATCTCTTATGGTCACTATCAAACAAGTAATTGAATTTCTTTTATACAATGATTCATACGAAAACACTACTTCCTGATTGCACATGAAATCAAGATATGGATAATCCTAATGACTTTTTCATGCATAAGTCCTGCCCCCGTTCATAATCCTATAAAACAATCATCCTAATACAGACAAATTAATATGCTGCAAGATATCTATCTATCTATCTCAACTCTTTCACAGTTTATATATTCCGCTATTCAAAATTCTTCTCGAAAAGAAATGCTTATTAACGTAGCTATACTTCGCTCGATTTCCTGATAGATATAATTACATTTTCCGGTAGTTCTTTTCAACTACCGTATCGCGACATCTATTCGGATATGATTTGTCTGTTTTGTTTCTATTCTATCTGATGATATTAGTATACTATAGAAAATTAAAAAACTGATAATTTAAAACACTGATCTCTCAAATTGTACTTTATAATTAATGAAAAACATGTGATTCTTATCTAAAAAGGCTTATTCTTTGATCCAATGGTAACTGTAGCAATATATCGTCGTCATGTCTTTCTCTTTTCTTTCTTTTTGTCAAATCTAAAGTTACTCATCGTCTGTTGTATCTAAGAATAACGCAATCTCATTTTTTATAAACTTATAACAGAATAGTTACATTCAAAATGTCGAACTCTTCTAACGATCATCCATCTATTCGGTATAAGATTTTGTTTTATTTTTTTCTTGTTGAAAATTTTCTCTATCCATACCTATCTAACAGTGTGCATGCACCACCAGGTGGTCGAAGTAATAATATCTTCGGTACGAATCCTGAAGAAGCGCAGCCATCGGCTGGAACTCTTGCTGGTCAATATAAACAGTCACAAATGAAATCGAATATTTTCGGAACAGATGAACCAGCACAAACACGTGCTGTTTCGAATAAAAATAAATCCAATGTATTTGCTACCACCAACGATGATGAACATACTAAACATCAACAAGGTGTTCGTCAAGGATTACGAGGTGAGTTGAAAAACCAAATCCCTGAAGATGATAACGAATCATCTATGATCATAAGAATATATTTGCTGTTGAGATAAAAAAAAAACAATTATGAAACTACTTTATTTAGATCCAAATGCATCACGCAGTAAGTGTGTTGTTTGTTGTTCTTGTTTGGTTTTTTTGAACTAAAAACAAAAAAACAGAAAATCAATGTGTATATCTTATTGTTCCCATATTTCCTAGATCTACTGTTAAACCTAACCTTCCCACATTGCGTGCTATATACATACGCTACCTTTGTTTTCACTCATATGTGTATCACTTAATAGAATTATTAATGATCTTCGTTCATTGGCACATGAACAAGATCCTAATGCACGATGCTTCTATTTAGACATCTATTATCCATCGAGCTTCAACTGCATTCACGTAAATTCCTAGCGCTTCGTCGTATTTAATTTGTCCGTTCATTGCTTGCTTTCAAGGGAAAGAATATTAATTTTGAGCTTGACGAAATTCGGGTTGTTGAATATTTCACTTTTGAAATAATGTCTGATTTACTGCTTATTTTAATTTTTTTTGCTGCAAAATATAATTTATCTCTTGGATCTTTTTTTGTATATTAATTTGCTATTCATTACAGGTGGATACAATCCTATAAATGGTGAATCATATTCGACGAAAGATAATGTAAACTCAAAAAATAGTGCAAATGATAAACAAACAGATGTACCAACAAAAACAACTGAAGAGAATAATAATGGTCAAGCGAATTCAGCCGAGAATAGAAATATTCAAAAACCAGCTGATAATACTGCTGATGCAAATAATGCTCAAAAGGTAAGAAAAAAAATATTGTTTTTAAATGAAATATTCATTTTCGATTCTGAACTAATTCGAATGAAGGCGATGATAGTTCCTACATTTCATTTCTTTGTTTTTATTTTAGAATTTACATACGAGCGTTCGTGTATTTCATCCGCCGGGTGGTAAATCGAGTGGTCCACTTTGGTAGATAAAGATATATTCTAAAGCAACACACTTTTCTCATAATTATTATTATTGTGCTTGGTGTATTAAACAGTATCTTCCGTAACATTTATTCCTTTATGTATGTCATTCCTTAAAAACTTGCGCTTTTGTATCTTCTTATCATTCTCATTTTATTTAACAAACATTTTTCCACTAATCAAAATGACGGTATTATTTTCCCGATCGTTTTTAAATATATTATGTTTGCATTTGAGAATGAATGATGTATTATATAGCGTCTTTTCTAAAACAACTAGAAGTTCTACCAAGATAAAAATCAATTATATCACTTACATTAATTTACGGCTTCAGGAAAAAATCTATATAGACAAATACGTCTTTTTCGCTTATGTACATTCAACCCCATGGCTCATCGACCCACTAACACATGTTCAGGCAGTTTTTTTCAAGAGTTCTTACACATTCATGTAAGAAGGTCGATGATTCACCATACTATCAACAGGGCACACGACAATTTCTGCATGGAATCTATAGAAGTTTAATTTAAAAAATGCCATGTTCTACCAAGGTTCCCCGTTGAAGAAAGAGCTTATACCGATAGATACATATAGTGCTTTTATTCTCTATTGTAATAAACTATTGCGTCATCAAGGTCAATAGCCTTAAAAATTGTTCTATTTATTCTTCTTGAGAAACAGGAACTATAAGCTCATTTTGAATACAACAAGATCTAGGTCATGAAAGGATGTCAATGTCGATATGCTAAAGAAAATTCAATAAAACCTTCGACAGATGTTGTACACGCACACTTTGATTCATATAAAATTACTGACAAGTAAACATTCTAGTTGAATCATTCGTACGAATCATCTGTCGGTGTAGAATATTCATTTTTTTTCTGGCAACTATAACGATTGTATAAGTTACACAGAGTGCAACTTCTGCGTCTACTATCAAGTTATGACTCAACTTCGAATAAAATAAGCGTTTACGTAAGAATATTTTGAGTGCAGTTGTATAGTGTAATTATGAGTACTCTTGAGTTTTTCATAAATAAACATAGATTTTTTTATGAATATTTGCTACTTCGACTATAAAAACCTGTAGTCATAAACAAAAGGACAACCAAATTATAATTACGGGTGTATATACTCGAAAACTTATTTTTAAAACATAAAAAAGAAAACTGAGCGAAATCTTACTCGCAAGCGATATTCAAGTTTCTTGTTTGACTAGTTACTGAAAAAAATCAAGACATTGCCTGTTTCTTTTACTTCCGACCGTTTTTGGTTAAATTCGCAAAGAAAAGAGTACGAACGACTACGCTGGCGAGGTTTTTTCTTCGGCAGACTATGCACATAGATAAAAAAGAACGTTAGTTAATCATGAGTCGGGCAGAAACGAAAAAACATCGAGTTAAAAACCTCCAAGCAAATAGAAATGAATAAGGCTTAAAAATATCTAGCATACCAAGGTAAATACAAAAATGATTTGTCATTGCACGCCTAGAGTGACTTATTAGACATATGATTTGCCAGTATAAATATTCGAGTATCATTGCTGAATCGAGTTTATGTAGGTGATCAAAATGAAAAATGCGAACCGAAACAACATAGTATCGTTTGAGAAGAGACAAAAAATGTGGTGAAATCATTTCCTATAAAGCGACGACAAGAATATCTTTGTATGTAATAATTATCTAACATGATATAGAATTGATTTCACTGTGCTCATGACTTACTTCTGTGATTTGAACTGTCTACTGACATACACTGATCATGTTTCATTGTTCTAAAAGATATCGAGCCAGATCGTATGCTCTCCCGTTAGTCAGAGTAATGGTAATGCAGACGAATTGTAACTAATACTTTTCAGTTTATCTTGCTATATAACATCATTACGTAGATACTCGAATTAGAAACAGAAGACCTATGGTTTCTACTTTCAAATAGACGATCTATAGAATGAGAAAAGGAGTAGAAAGTGGTCACTATATTATCCCGTAACTAAAAAGGTAACTGCATAGTAGTGATCAACAGCTATTCCTTGAGAGTGTGCAGGGATGATAGAAACAATAATATTGTATTTTGAAGATCGCGTTTGATTATAAAAACACCGAACAATATTCTTTTAAATGGAAGTTCACCGTAAATAAACATCATGTAATATAAGTGATAGATTACAATTAACACGTGTAAGATACTTTTCAACCGGTTTCTATGATCTAATAATTACACGGAAGTAGCTATACCAATCCATACGCCCTTTAAAACTAGTATACGAATTATTTTGACATTTGATTTCAAGACAATAACCGAAATTTATTTTATTCTCGTGAAAATCTTAAAGAGCCAGTCGTGCATTGTTCTGACGGGCTGTCTAAACAAACGCCATTGTTGCTACAGACGGCATCGGTCAAGCAGAAGAGTTCAGAATATATATATATACATATATATAATCAAAGTAGAAATAGTCATAGATGAAGATAAACACGGAATATTCATTTATTCAATTGACGGATTTACTTGATGAAATTCTTATGATTATTTTGAAAACATTGCACCATAATGAAATACTCGATTCTTTTATGGATTCAATAGAATTAGAAATACTATAATTTTTACAGACTATTTAACGCTGATGGCAAACAACTTCTTCTATTCATTTATTGTATCAATTTTGTTTTGAAATTTTACCTAAAAATCATCATAAAATCAAATGGTTAATCTTGCAGAAGAAACAGTCAGTGATCTGTTTTCAGGTAAGATATTTTTTCTGGCTCCTTCAAGAATTAATTATTCAGCAAACATGTTTGAAAAAATGCTTTTTTCCACTAGTTAATATTTATACTTTTTAATGTCTTCGTCAACTAATTCGTTTTATCTATTAAAAACATAAAAGCCAGTCGGTTTGAACCACTATTCTTAGATATTAATTCTCGAAGCAGAAAATATACAGAATTTTTTTACTATAATTCAATTCTTCATGCAGAACTGTAAACGTGACTAAATTTAAACACCATAAAATTCAAACCGTGTATAATCGTTAAAATAGTGCATCCTCCAGCATGACAATAAAAATAAAACTTTATGTTATCAGATGATGTCAGTTGGACCACATGCTGTAGTATAACACTAAAATAATAGACTATGGTAAAATGCAAGTATTACGACTCCTGACTGTGGAAGTTGCCAATTGATAAGATTAAACTTATCTTTTTTTTATTGCCAGAGGTAGGATTGACAAATGACTGAATTCATCACGAGCAACGTAAGAATGAATTTCAGAATTATCGTATCTTTCTTTGTTGTCGTTGTCGAAAACAATCCATATCCTAATCATGCAAAAAATATCACCCGCGCGATTCGCAGAATTTAATCATATATATGTGTATCTATACAATAAACCATATTTAGTAGAACGCTTACTACTGTAAACAACAGGTGAAGTCGACTGACAAAAAATTTGCCAGCTGACTCCATCTCTGATATCCTGTTGAAAGGTAGCGCCCTCTATTTTACGAAGTCTGTTATTTTGGCTAAAACTAAGATCATAGTTCAATAGAAAATATTTGTTTCTATCTATTAATATCAAAATTATTTTTAGACTTGACAAAAAACCAGAGGACCAATCATACGTCATTCGCTATTGTTTCGCTTATTTGCTCCTGTTTTGTCGGCTGAGGTTCCGTACCACCGGTGACGAATGTACAAACGATAGATAGAATTGAAAAAGCCGTATAAATAAATTTATCTATAAACCACAAAAAGAGTATAAATAGAACATGCTTTCAAATGGCGCATTAGATGGAGATCCGTATGGAGTCGCACCATTTCAACAAGTAAAAAAACCAAATACATTAATTATGTGTAACTTTTGAAGTAAAATTTATGTTTCAGGGAAGAACATTTATGACACCACCACGCAATCCACCAGTTTTCTATAATAACTCAAGTTATTCTCAACCATCAATAATGGCACGTGACGGACCATTGACTAACCCTGTTGGCGGTCCTAATAACAATAATTCTAGTGCTTACTTAACTGATTTGCATTCACATTCAGTACAGAGCAAGTATTCACATGTGAGAATAATCAAAATTTTACGTTATTGATTTAAAACAGTTACTGTAGTCATAGGATATGCTTACAGAGAAAAAAACAATATTATGAAGTCATATTAAAATTAGTAGATAATAGAATCTACCGCTAGAATCAAAGGCTTTCTTTATTCCAATAGTAGAATCTTTTTTTTTCAATGATATTTATTTAGAGTAAAAACACACAAGAATAGTGAGTAATTAAAATAATACAATATAAAAATATTGATAGACTTCACACTTGATAGTTACGCAATAAAGACTTGAGAGTTTGTGTGTTCAATTTTTTCTACATCTTTAAAAAAAGCGGTTGCATCGTTCTCTTTCGAGAAATCAATCGGGCAATTTTCACACGAGATTCAACGCTTTATTTACTCATTTTCTACATTGAAGGGTTTTTATGTAGACAAAAGTTTCTGCTATGTGCACGGGCGGAAACCGATAGATCCTACAGGTTCGGTACATAGTCTATGTTAGGATTTATCGATGGATGCAAACAAAAGCAATATATGGTATACTAGGATTTTTTATTGCCAAAAGATTTCGGTATTGGTCATTTTATGATGCGATTTTTCGTTTGGTATGATACTAGAATATTGTGATTTTAACAAAACTTACGCTGAAAATAACACAATAAAAGCTTTATAACATTGTTTACGTTCTAGAGACGAAAAACAATCAAATTATGTCATGTTTTCGTTTTTTTAGCCTAATAATCTTTTGGGCACATCACGTTTAGCACATCTTGGCGTTAGTGGACCATTCAGTAGTCTTGGACCAGTTTCAAGTCATGGTGAGTATCTACAACGCAAACTAACTATTTCTAATTGCAGATGATTTCTTGTTGTGAATGCACACTGTTTTGCTTCTGCATGTTTCAGTACGCAAAAGCTTACAAATGACAAGTATGATCTGCTGCATACAAAAAAAAACAAATAAGCCATTGCGCATGTTTTCCTTTTCTCGCATGAATTTATCTTTGTTTTTTTCTTCAAAACTTTGTCTATCAATTTTATTTTCTATTGTTTTTATTTTCTTCTAGTCGATGCAGCTGCTTTGGATAGTACTTCAAGGATATCTCCCGATAATAATTTAGATTTCTACGGTTATTCTCAAGCAGCACCCTACAGTGTAAGATTTTGTTTAGCTATTTTATGGAATGAAGACTTGAAGAGAATAACTTTTTGTTCTTATTCATTTACTCGTGTTTCTATAATCATTCGGCTGGTAAAAGTGGCAGATCTCGTAACAGTTAGTAGAAATCATCGGAGAGATATCCCATTGATTGTTCCAGTGAATACAGAAAGCTAGATTTAAGATCCTCAAGAATATTAATAGAATCTCCAACATAAAAACATATATTCATTTTTTTTTATATAGATGCAGCAGTTAACTGATGATGATCTCTTAATCAGTGGTTCGAATCATGAAGAAAAAGAACGTACAGTTCCACCTGATATGTCATCGGTTCGACAAGCTCGACCTGATTATGCATATTTTATGACTGATGAATTAAGGTAGAACCAAGCGAAATATTTTTCTTTCTAAATAAATAACATTTTCTTTTTTGTTATAGAGCTGAACTGTTCAGACGTAATCAAATGTTAACTGCATGTGCCAATCTCGATGTAGCTGCAGGTAAGACCATATTGAATCAAAAAGCAAATCTCTATTCTATTTTAATATTTAGCTATGCCCGAACGAGTAGGTGATTATTATAATTTAATGCCGCTTGATAGTAGTCAAGCAAATGTTCCACATAAATCACGAACTTTTCGTTATCAAACACTAAGCTATAAAGCAACACATATGCGAACCAATGCTGCATGCTATTTAAAACGAATAATGGGTACAACAAATATTTTTCTTTTCTTTTCTTGTCTTATGAAATATGATTTATTTATTTATTTTTGGAATAAAGGTTGTAAATTACCAACAGTTCGTTTATATGAAGTTGTTGAAGCATGGAAAAAAATCATTCACGCTAATATTGTCCAATTACGTGAAGTTTTTCTAACAAAAGACTTTAACGATGATCAACCTTGTATTTACTTTTTTTTCCTGTCTATTAAAAGAATCTTTTTGTTTTTGAACTTCTAGCTACGGTTTTTGTCTATGACTTCATACCCTGTTCTGAAACATTACAAAAGCGCCATTTTAGTGCGAATAATAGCCTATTAAAAGGGTGGTCAAATCCATATAATATATCTGGTGAAGATCGCCCGTTTAGTGCTGGAAAAGGTAGTTTTTTAAGTAGCTATTCTTTTTTTCTAATTTTATCAGGATTACATTTTCTAGGAACTAATCAAACGGGTCTCTTAGCTGAAACACTTATTTGGGAATATGTTGTACAGATATCATCATTGATTCGAACATTGCATGCAGCATTACTTTCGTGTCGTTGTTTACATTTATCAAGAATACTTGTTGATGGCGATTCAAAAACAGGCCGTGCAAAATCAAGGCATAGAATTGTATTTTAATAGGTTCAAAGAGAAGTTTAGTTTTTATAGATTATGGTTAAGTGGTGTCGGCATCGCTGATATACTCGAAGGAAATATAAATGGAACTATTCAACAGCATATAGTAAATCAATAATAAATTTATATACTTGATTTATTTTCGTCTCGTTTAGCAAAATGATCTACAAGATTTTGGCCGTTTAATATTAATGTTAGCATGTAATTCCATTGTAGGCGCACAGAAGGAACATTTGCAAACATCATTGGAAATTGTTCAAAGAAGTTATTCACATGATCTTAAAAATCTTATACTGTAAATTGATTTTTTTTTTCTTTGTATTAACGCATACTTTTGTTTTTCTATAGACATTTCTTGTTACCTTCAAATACATTGAAACCGAAGAATATTAATGATTGTATGCCTATGATTGGTGCACGATTTTATGCATATATCGATAATTTGCATGTGCGCGGTGATATACTTGAAAATGAATTAGCAAAAGTAAGTTATGTTGCATAGGAATCAAAGAACTAATAAGCGACTTTTTATATGATTATGAAATGTAAGACAGTTGCTACATGTGGAATGTGTCCTCATCGGGAAAGTTATTGATAGTGATAAATAGTCTATCCGATATTTTACATGGTGAATAAATATTAAAAAGGCATGGATATTTCCTTGATCGAAATAAATCGGTTGAATATTCTATTCGGTTTCTTCACTATTTTTGTAATAGAACGTAATTGCAAGACGTTTTATATTTTTTAGGAACTCGATTGTGGTCGTTTATTTCGACTGATTTCTAAACTCAATACACTTCTTGAACGACCCGAGTAAGAAAAATTATTTTTTCCAAATCGAAAAAAAAAATACCGAAACTCCCTTTTTTTAGACATTCGATGAATCAAGCTTGGTCAGAAACAGGTGATCGTTATATTCTAAAATTGTTTCGTGATTTTGTATTTCATTCGATTGGCTTCGAGGGTGAACCGATTGTTGATATGGCACATGTTGTTCAATGTCTAAACAAAGTATATAAAGAGTTTTCAGTAGAAAAGTTTGCTTTTATTTATTTATTTGCTTGTTTCTAGTTTGATGCTGGTTCACATGATAAAATCTGTCTTACATCGCGTGATGAACAAAACGTTATGATTGTTAGTTATTCCGAATTACATCAAGCATTCGAAAGAGCTTTTACTGAATTAATGAACTACGGAGCAACAGGATCATCTTGAATTCTAGGGGAAAACATAGTTTCTTTTTTTGTTCATCATGTCTGTATATAAAATCTTCATTATGTATAAACAAAGAAAAGAAAAAAAGGTATCTAAACACATTATTTTTCTTCAGCGTCGTTCGTTAGATATATTTTCTCTTTGGCCACGAATATATTATTGAAAAAAAAAAGAAAACAATTGTTCGCTTTTATGCGGTTAACTTTTCGATGGATGACAAAAGTTTGTCTTTTTCTTTTTCTCTATGTGTTGTCTGTTTTAACCTTATATTATAGAACGTATCGGTGTAGTTCAAGATGTTCTCTCTTTTTTTCTGTTCAATATGTAACATTAATTTTTTTTTCAAGAAACTATAGAAAAAAAAGCGAAAAAAAAATAATATCGACGTTCTTTTTTTCATCATGATTGCACATGTTCCTTTTAAATGGTTTACAGTGAAATAGTTTAAGGGGATGTTAACAAAGAAAAAAGCATTTACATCAGCCTTGTCAAAGTAAAAGAAGAAGAAAAAGTGTTGTATGTTTTTTCTCAAACAACAAGAAAACAGATTTGTTTTGTAACATGGCACAATTTGGAATACCCGATGCAGCCAATGAATTAGGTCGTCTTCTGCCAGCGCCTTACCTTCCGACATATATCGCACGGTTAGTATTCTTGCTACTTCTATTGAAACACGTCGCTCATGCGAAAAATCAAAATGTACTCAAAGAGATTTATATTTTTTTTGTTGTAAGATAAAAAGTTATGTTTGATTTGTTAGGTACATTGCTATGACAATTGTGTTCTATGCAAAAGTTACAGATTATCCATAGTAAGGGGTGCAGACAACGGGATGTGACTGGGCATATGTACCTATATTTTATTCTAGCCAAGTACATTTCAGTCAAAGAATTGATTGAACTTTGTTCATCGATGAAGAAAAATTAACATAAGTTCAAACTCAAGCATTTTCAATTTAGTACATTAGAAAATAGATCAGTACGAAATAATCAGCATAGGGTTTACATCTAGAGATCATCTTGATCAAAATATATTCGCTCTTGGACGGATGTATTTCAGTGATAAATTGCCTCGAACCGTCTAATTTTGATGGGCGAGGGTGAGTACTTCTTTCAGCCTTAATAAACACGAATTGAGTTCGATTTCAAAAGTTCGAATAAATTATTAAATGGATTTTTAGTCGTCCGATTCGTTCAAAATCGAATTTAGAATATACAACACCAATTTATACTTCGATATATGCGAACAATTGGCCGAAAGCATCTGATAATTATGCTGCAAAGCATCGCAGTTTTTATGATTCACCGTTCATAAATATTGATTGCGATTCAATTCAAACTACACCAAAAGAATATGATACATACAAGCAATATCTATTTCAACAGGATGAACCCGATTTCATAGTATGTTGTTCATCAACTGTTCGAATGATTCGAAAACAGTTTGTTTATTTAGGAAGCATTGAATCGAGTCCGTCCGTTCACTGTTCCAAATCATACGACGTAAATTAGATTTTTATTTTTCTTACACCGTAAAATTGTGTTGCGCCTTTTCGTTCACATTAGACGCACCAGTTTGCAATGGTCTCGATTTCTCGATGAATATCCGGATCGTTTTAAAATTGATTATCCCCTATCTAATGATGATAGTATTTTATATGTTCCACCTCGGCCAGGTCGTTATCCAGTAAGTTTTTTCTTTTTATTTCATCACTGATCTCATTCAGTGCGTTTTTGCGTTTATTTAGTATCAACCATATCGTGAAGAGTCAAATCTCTATGCAGGATTACCAAATAAAATTCATCCTGCAACAAATCCATTCCGACAAATGGAATCAAGACAAAACTATACAGTAGCTCATCCAATATGGAAACCGTATGGTACTCCATCTCGTCGATAATTGGAAGAAGAAAAAAAAACAGATTCAACGAACATTCATTTGAAATAATTCTATTTTCCTAAATTTTATTTTATGAATAAAATAATGATATGCGCATTTCCACTCAAGCAGAAATCATAACAAATACGTAGTAGAGTACGAAATAGCACATGGTAAATATTAATGCTTCAACAAAGTCATAATGTTATGTTCTTAATTATGTAATAAACAAATATGATCGTGTTATTTGTCTTATCTCATTAAAGAAAACATCAGTCAGTTCAATGTAATGTAAACTTCTGTAGATATTTTATTTATTAATCCGTATCTTTTATCATATCTTTATATCTCGAATGATAAAAAGAGCCCAAGGCAGTCTGTATCTGCTTGTTGTATACACATGATTCAGTAACAAATTGAAGGAATAACATTTTCGCATTTAATCAATTTCTACATTATTCGAATAAATATAACAGGAAAACAAACTTCCACTCGAGTAGTTCGAATGAAACCTTCATAGTGATATTTACTAAATTTTCATTCTATAAATCATTATGTTTATTTTATCTTCCAATTTTACTCGTCGGTGTAATATTTCGCTGACTTTCGGCATGTATATTGATTCATGTATATATCGCATGTGTACAAATAAAAGAACAAACAGTTGGAGGGCGTTGAATCGCAAAAGGTCGTTTTCCTTCCTTCCATATCATCAATTTCTATCCCTCCTGCTGTTTCTAGCCAGATACGCGTCGAGATATATGGAAATAAAGACGGCCAAGACATTCTGATTCGCCAAGGAATAGAAAAATATATTGTTTGTTTCTATTTAATACATCATGAACACGTACAAACGAGTCGGAAGAATAAGGAAAAGACAAGAAGACGAAAGAGAAAGAGATAACTGTACAACAATATCTTCTTCTCGTTTTTTTCCCAGAACGTTCGTATGCTAATGATTGGTTCCTTCCGGTGATGGAGCACATTTTTTTCTCATCTCTCATATCACATATAGATTCTCTAGTGATGAATTAGTCGATATCCCCGTTTTTACTTTATTCTGTTCTTCATCTTCATTCTGTATGGCTTTTTAAAAGAGACGAAGAGAGAGAAACGAGTAGAAGAGAGTGGCACAGTTTTGTTGACATATTTCATACAAGAAAGAACATAAAAATAAAACTCCGAGATCTTTTTTTTATTTTATTCAAGTATTTACATCGATGTCATTATTGCATAAAGATACAACATTTACAAGTAAGAATCAAAATTTATTCATTAGAAAAATCTTATCTATTGAATTTAATTAGAAATTTTCGTTGGTGGTTTACCATATCACACAACTGATGAAACATTACGGAAATTTTTTGAACGTTTTGGTGAAATTGAAGAAGCAGTAGTATGTATTTTTGTCTTGTTTGGAAGAATGAAATTTTTTTAATATTTTATTCAGGTTATTACTGATCGACAAACAGGCAAATCACGTGGTTATGGATTTGTGAGTAATCTAGAAAGAAGAGCGATTGATATGCATTCATTTTGAGAAACGCTGATGATGATAATGATGATGATTGTCGGCTTGCGCGTGTGCAAACACACAGATGGGATTTTTCTGCCTTGAAAGATAATCGTTTTTTCTTATCTTTTGCATGCCATCAATCAGAACAGAAGTCTAATCGTGTATAATACAGCTAATATGAATATTCTCATGTTTTTCAAATATTTAATTAACATGAAGGGCAAGAAAATTTAGGAACAAAGTCGAGAGTCTCTTCTGATTTCTTTGTTTGAACAATTTTTAATTATGTGAATTAGTAAGATTCACAGCAAATAATGAAAAATGTTTTTTTTTCTTCTATTATTTCAAGGTGACAATGAACACTCAAGAAGCCGCTAATTTAGCGACAAGAGAAGCCAATCCTGTTATTGATGGTCGCAAAGCAAATGTTAATTTAGCGTATCTTGGTGCTAAGCCACGTGTTATCCCAACACCAGCTGGTAAGGATCTAAAAAAAGAAAAATTCTTTGTTTGTTCATATTATTTCATTGTTTAAATATTTCATCTATCTATCTATATATATAATATAAATCATACACACATGTATATCTATGCATAACTTACCAAACTCTCCTCTCCTCATTAATTGTAGTACAAGCAGCGTGAGAAAACTATAACGACCGTAAGTGGATGCTCTGGATGACGCTGTAGTTTGTGCCAGTTACTTGATGTTTTCTTTATTTTTTTTTTGTTGATTACATTTATATTGTGGTTTTTATTGAACTTAACCTAATACATCAAATTAACTTTTGCAAAAAAAACTAACGAAACGATAACAACCATACCCAGACCATTGTGGCATGGGATCTCTTATATTTTTTTCTGTGTTTTCAAGTGTTTGATATTGATGTTGTTGTGATGGTGCTCTTACTCATTTTCTTCTCTATATTATGCTCGCTTTCGTGTGCTCTCAGTGCTTTCGTTTTTCATCTATCTTAGTCATTTGATAGTTGGACACACACAAGAACAAAATATGGTGTTGACGATACACACAGCTGAAAACAAAAATTCTACTTATTTTTTCTTCGATCGAAATTCGATTCTTTATAAATATTGAAATATATATATATATACATAAAATGACAACAAACTACAAGAGCGTGTATGTGTGATGTGTATGCCTTTAGCGTTTCATTCTTCGATTGTTGTTATTGGAACAAATCAATTTGATTGATTGATTGATTGTTTTCGTCGTAATTCAACTGAATTATTGTTTTAGGTTTAATTCCACTTCATCTTGCTGGGGCATATTCAGCCGCATTACCAACTACTTATGGGTGAGTACATTTCGATTTATTATTTTTTCTTGTTCGTCTTCTTTGTATATATATATATATATATGAAGAGTGAATCCTCTTCCCTTCTGCAAACAAATCAAATCAATCTTAAATTTAAAGAAACAGAACCGTAAACTCCCTTGAGCAATGAAATAAACTCGATGAAAGTATTCATTCGATGAACATAGAGTGATGACATGTTCAGATAAACAAATCGTCTTCTGTTAAATATCTATCTATCTATATGTACACATCTGGATAATGCTTCTTTCATTTTTATTTTTACAGTATTCAACCTATCTACTATCAACAACAACCAACAACAACATTATTAGCTACGGCTACAACACCACAAACACTTAGTACATTACTACCAAATCAATCAATAACGACAGCATTAAATGGAGGTATGCATGGTAGCCAAAATCAATCGGGAGGCACTCCATCCTATTATGAATTGACTTATGCTACGACGCCAACACTTGACCAAGCATCTTATATATATGCGGCAGGTCCTGGACAAACATTTTCCTATGCACAATTGCCGGCAGCAGCAAATCAACAACAAACAGGTCCAGGAAATTTAAATGATATTTACGGAAATCATACAGCAAAATATATAATTGATGATCATAATGTATCAGTCGATCGTGATCATCATCAACGTGCAACAGCTGGATGGTGATGAAAGGAAAAATAAAATCAAGCTGTACAGAGAAATAGACTTCATTTTATTTGTTTCTTTTCTTCATCAAGAACGTTAGCAAGAATATTCTACTGTACAGTTTAACTATTTCTGTTCGTTAATAATAAATTAAGAAATAAAATTGTTTCAGTTTAATATATTTTAATTAAATATTTATTTCAAAGGATTATGCGATTTCTAGCAAACAACAATGATAGAAAGTTGTTCGTTTCTGTCTATATTTCTTTCTTTTATTGAAGTTCACAAAACAAAATTATGCTCGATGGCATCTTTGATCGAACGTATAATGAGCACTCGCTGGAATTACATAATTGGAATGAGAAGAGATTATGTAAAAGAATTCTCGTTTGTTTATTTTCTTTCTCCTATGTCTATGATACCATTCAAGGGAATATCATCATTCATTCTGTATAAATATTTTCTAAAAATTCGACCTGAAAGATTTATCCTCGTAGTCTGCACACAACTTGATTGTAGATCAATTTAGCTTTGAGAATATGTGTTAATACAAAGCAGTACATGTACGTCATTATCGTAGTAAACATTACAGTCTATATTGATATCAAGAACAAGCAATCGTGTCTAGGAATATGTATATATTCAGGTCATTGTCTTCTCAGAAAAGAAGGTCACGAATTGATTTATATCAATAATTTCTCTTTTCAAGCTAATTACATTGATTTAAATCTAAGAGAACATTTTGAAAATATGTAGTTTTTTAATTAAATGTAACAAGGCAAGCAGCTCTTTTTGCAATAGAGGTGTGAATATCAATAGTAGAATGTCATGGCTTTTTATTCTTGGCAAAGAATGGTTATTTTAGTGCCGTTCTATGTGTAGAAAATGCAATGGTTAAGCTTTATGACACATTAGCACGGCTCGAGTGGTTAATGGCTGACTTTAGATGGATGCTTCTAATAATGTGCTACATTTTAGAACACATTATTTAGTCTTACTAATGATTCAGCAAGAAGAAAAATATGTTGTTTTTCCCGCAATTTGGTCTTCGCTATTGTTTGTAATGCATCTTTATGATTCACTGAATTTATGTTGAGCGAGTTTAAATGTTTAAAAAATTTCTCCATTCAATTTTTTTATAGTACTCTTAGTGATAAAAATAAAAAGATGAATAATAATTACGATTTCTTCTTAACCTAACAGTGGCAATATGTTCTTTTAATCTACAAGTAACAGTCGATAAAGAAAAATGTCAATATGACCATTTACGATTTTCCGTATTTTATCTATACAAAAAGTGTGTATAGTAATATACAGCTATTTGCAAAAAGACTTGCATAACTTCTTCTACAAATATCATCTGCTATGACAGTGTTCTTCGAATTCTTTTATACTTTGGTGGATAGCCTTGATCCATAGGCGGCGGAACGATTTCGATCTAGCGTAGGCTCAACGTTTTGGACAAATCAAGTCTCACCATTGAAAAAAAAATAGACTTGAAGTCAGACTGAAATCGACTAAAAGCACTTTAAGTGCAAACTATAAGCATACGAGTTTGGTCGTCTTTTAATCATTTTTGTTTAGCTCGCATTTCTGCACGGCACGAGTAATGTTATTCGAGTGTCTTAGATTTAAAAGTAATTTTAAACGGAAGTTACAGAAACAATTCAGCTATCTTAAATTACGAATTACGAATTGGATGTCAATTTTAATGCCAAAAACGTTCAACTAATGCTTCATTGCGAACGAGTTACTAGTAGAGAAAATATGAAATGATCTTGTAATAATGCATTATTTGTTAGAAAAGCCCCAAAATTGAACAAGAATAAAACCATTTTGCATATAACAGCCTATCCAAACATTTATCTGTTCCAGTTTCAGTCTATCAAGGTCTACCCACTTCCAGTTTAGAGTAGACCAAGCCTACCCACTTTCAACCTAGGGGGTAGGCTTGAGCCTCGCGAGCCTAATGGCTCCGCCGCCTATACCCTGATCGAGCACTAGACGATCCCATAATTCGATATGCCAACTGTTCGCTCATAGAAGAAAAATGAGACAAACATCACTTTTTCTTGGGCACAACAAAAATGTTTATAATCGAAATTCAACATTTTTGACTTCCCAGGCCAAAAACTCAGACACAGATCTTGTAAGATCATATAAGATCAGAAATACGATCATAGAAGATCCTACTGTCTGATTGTTTGACCTGGGTTTTTCACCTGAAAAATGTTGATTAAACAGAAGCCCTGTTTAAACGTTTCATATAGAAGTTGATAGCCTATAATATGCTACATTGAATATCATCATAGTTCAATATTTTATTCGTTCACCTTTACAATCAATAAGAGATAAACATCGTTTTCTTATAGACATCACACAACTTTTCACAACATTATTATCAATATTTTTGAATTCTTCAGCTAAAAAAAAAGTTCTAACTCGTCAGTATTTACAGGTTTTCTTTTTTCCACGTTGCGTTTCACCATCGACCATATATGTTCTATCGGATTTGCATCCGGACTATTACCCAGGTCGAGCAATCCAACAGTGGAAACCAATCGGAACCCATCCGATCCGACTCGCATCCAGTAGGATCTTATCGGATTTTGTCGAACCCTACAGAACTATTATCGGATTCGAAGTTGGATCCTGAGTGTCGGATTCCAATGAATTCCAAAGAAACACTGTTGGATATCATCTGAAGTTCAATGGATTCCGACGTAAATTCCTCGACCCGGAATCCTATAAGATTCTGTCGGATGGTAGGATACTATCAAGTTCCTATCGGATTCGGTGTGGGAGTTCTCGACCTCGATCTAGGCGGCGATTCGACCTATATTTCCTCTATTTTCAAAAACGTCCTATTTTTGTCCTATATTTTAATGAAAATTCCTATTTTTCCTATATTTTATCGAAGAAAGTAGAAAATTTCCAAAAACCTCTTAATTTTGCTATTGCCTTTAGACGAAAAAAACTTTTAATGTGTATAATCATGTGTTTTGGACAAATTCTTGTATTATTGTGACATTTGTTTTAAATAGTATTTTTCCTTTCGCCTATTTAGTGGGCTGATTGAGAAATTGTTTAATACTAAGTACAAAATACAAAATAGTTCAAAAGAAAAAAAACATTCACAAAGTGATCGTGTACTAGTTTCGGGTTTTTAGTGAGGTTTTAGTTAGATATAAAAGCTGTATATATATACCCCTGGAAAAAATAAGCTTTACTCTGTATTTTGAAGATACTGTTACCAAAAGAACATATTTTTTTAAAAGTAATGACATCTTCTGAAAGCTCGTGAAAGTTTACATCATCCTGTGCATATGCATTTTCATTTACACTTATTTATTACCAGAAAAAATTGATTTATGATAAAATACAAAATAAACTTGTGGAAAATAATAAGCAATAAATGCTGATTATCAGGACAATAAAATTAGGTTGAAATTCTTTTGGAACTCATGTCCGTAATCTGAAACGTCTCCTTTAATTTATGAGAATAGTATTTGTCTTTTTCATGTATTTGTTTTTTCAAAGCTTATGACCTACTTTACTGTTATTTATCGATTTGTGAAAAACTTTTATAATGATCCTCGAATTAGCGGCTTATTTCCATAGAAAAAAATACATAAGGATCTTGGCTACGTTTGAACTGTTTACAACAGCTTCATTAAAACGATTTTCGAGCAGGACAGTTAAAAAACAGCAAAATAATTCAACAGAAACTATTTATAAAACATCCTATATTTTTGTCATTTTTTATCGAAAATCCGTTATTTTTGGCAACCTTGATCCTCCAACGATTCCTATATTTTTAAACAAGTGCAATCGGAGGCCAGACCTCGATAGATGACTAGTCTAATAACTTTGGTGCATTGTCGTCAATAAATTGTTTACAAACATTACTCCTATGTTAAGGACCATTGTCCTGCTGTAAGCGCCAGTGTTGACCAAATTGGTCTAAAACGAAAGAGTAAGCAAGTGACACTACTGTGCTTTCTTTCATTACTTACGTCTAGCAGCCGGAAGAAGATAATCGTCAAGAATACTAACATAATATGGACCATCGAGATTGCATCGAAACGTGTGACAGGTTAATACACCCCTCACACTTATTGTACCCCGGATATGAAGTTTTTGACGATTTTTAGGCGAACATTTTAATTCTTTATTAGAATTTTGTCCGTCGACGAACAGTATTACGAAAAAGCTGAAATGAAGATTCATCTGGAAATATTGTATCAGCGAAATCATAATTCTTATGCTTTTTAGCCCATTGTACACGTCGTTCTTTTCATTCGATCTTAACATATGAGTAGATTTAGGCAAAACATTTTTATAACCAAATTCATGAAGATGACCGCTAATCATCAATATCGATACTGATTTATTGTGCATTTTGGATAAATTATCTTTTATTTCGATCAACCTTGTATGGTACTTTATTTCCAATTGATAGAATACTCTCTCGCTAAAATATTTAAAAATTGTTTCGACATTGACGAGTTAATATTTCGAGAGAAAGAGATACAGTAATCTACACTAAAACGTTACTAATATCTATTTATAGCCGGTAGGCTAGCTCCATATGTCTGTAATCATATATGTAGCCTTTCGGTCACAGTCTGTATTTTTATCTATGGAGTTGGTAGAGGCCATCACAGACCGTGACAGAGAAATTAATTAACTAATTAACCAATTAGCCAATTAAATAATTTCTCTCTCTCGGTCTGTGGGGGGAGGGCCGGGGTGGGCCCAAATTTTTACCCTATATACTTCAACACTCCTTTTAGATCGTGTTTCACAAAATAGGGTTAACGGTTATAAGCATAAACAATCGAAAAGAAATACTCTCGATTAAAAAGCGATTGGGTAATTAGAAGCATGCTGTGATCAGAAAAAAATGTAATATAATGTTTCATTGAAGCATGACGACGAGCAGATATTTTTATCTCGTAAAAAAAACAAGTCAGTGAAAGAAAGCAGCAAATGGGAATAAAAAGTTCGACACTAAATAGTATCGTGCCGTTTAGTCAAGCGAAATCGGTGAAAACATCACAAGGTGGTCGCAATAGAAATATTCCGATATGTTTAGCTGATAAACCAGTTCAATATGAGAGAACAAGTTCTTCAACAAATGCAAAACCTCCACGTTTGGTTGAAAATACCGTGCTAGTCTGGCTCGATGGTTCACTTGATAAAAAAACCGAATTGAACAATGGTTTAATGGGTCAATTTAATCGTGTTGCTAATATTATTCAACCATTTTTTAATCCTGACGAATGCTTTAATTTTATTAATTCGGTGAAAGATGAAAAAATATATTTTATTGTATCCGGTTCACTTGGTCAACAGATGGCACCACGTTTAGAAAATTTAGATCAAGTTCAACACATTTATATTTTCTGCGGAAATAAAGCTAATCATGAACAATGGACAAAAGAATATAAGAAAATAAAAAGCATTCATACGAAAATCAAAGAACTTTGCGAGACAATCAAGTATGATATTAATAAATGCGATAAACGTTTAACATCGATTAGCATTCTTTCACAAGTATCGATGGCGCATTTAGATGATTCAGATAAAAAATTTGTTTATTTACAAATGATTAAAAGTACAATTTTAGAAATAAACTATGATAAAAAAGTTCGAAAAGAATATACTGATTTCGCACGACAATTTTATTTAAATAGCGATCAACAATTAAATATTATTGATACATTCGAAGAAAATTATAATCTTCATTCGCCTATATGGTGGTATACAAGAAAATCTAGTATATATCATATGCTAAGAAAAGCATTTTATAAAAAAGATTTGGAAATCATTTGTCAATTAGCATTCTTTATTCGAGATCTCAATAGAGATATTAAAAAATCTCATTTACAAACGCATAATCATCAACGTAGTCCAGTAACTGTTTTTCGCACAACAGCCATCAAGACTGCTGACTTTGAAAAACTCGAAAGAAGCGAAGGTCGTGTTTTAGCTTTTGATGATTTTTTAATAGCAACTCTCGAATTAAATGTTGCAGTGAAATTTGCCAATACACTATGTAATGATCCCGATATGATTGCTATAATATTTAGAATTGATATCGATCCGATCACATCAACAATACCGTATATTGCTTTAAATAATTTAAGTTTCTTATCGAACACGGAAGGCGAAGTTCTATTTTCCATGAATACAATATTTCGTATTGAAAAATTAGAAAAAAGTCAAGATCGTTTATATCAAGTTAATTTAACAGCATTGGGTAAAAAGGATGAAGAAGTAAAAAATATTTTGGACTATATGGACGAAGTTACACTTGGCTTATCTGGATGGTATAAATTATCTAAACTTCTCGTCGATGTGAAACAATATGACGTAGCAGAAAATATCTATAAGTTTTGTTTTTCTCAAACACAAGAGAAGCATCGTGAAGAACGTGCTTTTATTCAACATGAACTTGGTCATTTAAATGAACTTAAAAATAATTATCCTTCGGCAATAGAACATTATCGAACTGCTCTCGATATTCATTTGACATATTTAGAAGCGGTTCATCCTACGCTTCTACCGACACATGTTAATCTTGGTGATGTTTTACTAAAGAATGGTGATTTTAATGAAGCAATACAGCAATATAAAAGCGCTATGAAAATCGAAAAACATGAGAAATTGAATGTACCTGTACAGCATAATAACATTGGTAAAGTTTTTCTGAAACAAAGAATGTATTCTGAAGCACAACAAAATTTTGAGAAAGCCGTTCAAATTTTACTTCAAGAATTTCCAACAGCTCGACGTGAATTAGCAGATACGTATCATAATATCGGTGAAGTGTATTATTTAATGAAAGATTATGCAAAAGCTTCCAATTATTACGATAAAACACTTGAACTTGATCATAAAATATTTTCTCAAAATGATCCTTCACTAGCATCGACTTATTATAATTTAGCAACAGTAAACGAAGCACTTAAACTTCATAAAAAAGCTATTCAATATGTCGAAAAAGCTGTTGCAATCGTTCAAGCTTTCTATGGAAACGATCATGCAGAAACGAAAGCATATGTGAAATATCTGACACAGCTTCAGCAGACTTCTTAGATTATAAATTCAAAAAACGAACATTGATAAACGTTTTCTTTTTCTTATCTATTCGAAATAAAAAATTTATATAACATCGTCAATGTTCGATAGTTTTGTTTGATAATAGAAGCTTTTAATCGTGGTCCCTATTATTACTGTTTGTAAAATCTGCTTGACTTTTTTTTCTTAAAATTCAACTGCTGCAGTAGTTACTCGAATAGAAACAATAATATTTTTCTATGAGAATTCAATAGATCGGCTATTATTTTCTCTGCAGGTTCCTATCAATTGATCTTGTATTTATAGGTCAGATAGATATCATATTACTGAGAGGATCAGTAAAAAAAAGCGTGTACAGACTAAACTCGAAGCATGTGCTCGGAGTACTTTTGTGACTTTAATACAAAAAAATTCTCGTTTTATGTTTATTGCTTGATTTTTTCACCTTTCCTTTTCTTCTGAAGGATAAAATCTCTGTTTTTTTTTCAATATTGACTGAATTAATTTTCGGCAGAGTTTATTGTCAAATGCGCTTCCAACAGAATAAAGAAAACGATGCATTTTGTCACTGTTTATGACAACAAAGAACGAGATGAATAATGCTAAACGCTTATAAAGAGAGCGAAAACGACAAAATTCTCTTACACTTTCACTCTCTCATCGGCCATGTGTACGCTTATCACCTAATTGTGTAAGTATCTCAAATTTAAACTTAGCCTGAGTAATATGCCAATCACCTGATGTATAGAAATAAGGTCAAATGATAACAATTTAATGGCATACTAGGAAAAAAAGCAACAACAATAACAACAGATGTTACTCTTATTTTGCATATGAGATGACTCCAATCAAAGAAAGAATTGATAAACATCATTGTTGTCGATATTTTTCTTTTTTTTCTTCGGAGACCATACTATAGTAGTATCTTGCAAGCGTTTGTTGAAGTAGTTATCAAATACTTTATTTTTAATGAATAGGACATAACAATAAATTGGCTTTTTTCCTTTATAGTTTGAGAATTTGACCCTACAAAAAAATTTGAAAGTCATTTATTAGTTCTTAAAAAACAATTTTTTCACTGGTTTCAAAAATAAAAACTAGAGAAATTCATAGTTTCAAATTAACATTTCGATATCGTTTCCGAGGAAATTTAACTGTCATCCGTTTCGACATAAACGAGTCGATTGCGATAAAAAGAAGATAGAGAATTGTTATCTTTAGCATTGAAAAAATGAGTGTTGTGACTCATTGAGAAGCATAGGAAATATTATCTTTCAACACGTTCTTTGATGTTTCCTAGAGCTTGACATTTGCAGAAAAAATGAAGTTTTCATTGCAATTATGTTTTCATCTATGCCAATTGACAAATATTAACCTCTAGACAACTTCGACATTTATTTTTCCTTTGGCGAAGATCTTTCTTCTATCAAACGTTAATTAGATAAGCATACGCTCTCTTTTTATTTTATTTTGAAACAATTAGTAGATGCATCATTTTCTAGTTACTTCGATTTCCTAGTCGCGTGAATCATCGTGACAAGATCTCGATCTCTGATTGGTTCAAATCTCTCCTGTCGCCTTATTGATCAACCTCTATTCGTTATTACTTCAACTGTCAAATCAAAAAACAGAAACAACTGCATTAATATGTCACATATTATATAAACGGATAGCTACATGTTCACAAGAGAGAAGAAACAGTTAAGTCATCATATAACGAAGCTACTTGCTGCAAACGACAGTTTTATGTTTATTTATTTATTAGTCATCGTAGGTGTAAACTCCCACGGTGTTCAATTGATTTTCAACAATAAAAGGTTATTGTTATCGTTTTTTTAATTTTTAGATCAGTTTTCATACTGTTTTCATTTGCTTTTTCTTATTCAAACGATGCAGATATATATTAAGAAACCTTATACATACAAGAAGCTATCTAATCTATAATCCTGTTTATATCTTTGTTTTCTTTTTACATACAATATTTTCAAGATATGCCAAAAGCAGCGTCAAGTTCAAATACTGCTCCCTGTAAGTATTCTGTTTAGTTTTCAATAGAAGAAAAATAAAATAAATTTTCGTTTAATTATCTATTAGCCCTCGCACGTACGATTCAAGCAAAAAAACGTCGGCCTAAGAATGGCGGAAAACCACGTCCTCCTCGTGATCTCATTCAAAAAAAGATGTAAGTCATTACATTATCTATTAGTCAAATCGAGCGAAGAATCATACGATTATTGTTTTATAAATGAATATATATATATATGAATTAAGATGATTAATAGAAAACGGTGAATATACCGAAATATGATAGGAATGAAATATTCTCAGATGTGTTGATTCACTCGTGTTTATTTATTATTAGAAATACTGCTAATGTAAACGATGCAACTCCTGAAATTCCGACAACTGAAACTCTACCAATTCCCCAATCGGATTCATCGTTTACAGTGTCGAGCAGTGGTGGTTTATCTTCTAGCGCACCACTTCCTACGTAATTTTCGAATTATTTTCTCATGAAAACAAAACTAATTATTTCGTTTTTATAGAGTTCTCAGCGCAAACGATAGTCTTCTGGCAGATAAGGATAATGAAAATGAGTCCATAAATGCGCCGATTGATAATACCGGAAGCGATAATGAAGAAGAAGACGAAGAAGAAGGTGACGCCCATGATATTCGCGGTTCAGACGATGATGAACAAGAAGATCCAAAAGATTATTGTAAAGGTGGTTATCATCCTGTAACTATCGGCTCAACATTCAATCAACGTTATCATGTTATACGTAAATTGGGCTGGGGTAAACTATTGAATACGGACAAGATTTTATCATTTTAATTAAAATTTTATTCACTATTAAGGTCATTTCTCAACTGTATGGTTATGTTGGGATCGTAAAGCGTCAAGATTTGTTGCTATGAAAGTTGTTAAAAGCGCTAAGCATTATACTGAAACAGCTTTAGATGAAATAAAATTATTAACTAGTGTCCGTGAAAGTGATCCATCAGATCCTCATCGTCTTAAATGCGTTCAATTATTGGATGATTTTAAAGTTGCTGGCATCAATGGTTTACATGTTTGTATGGTTTTTGAAGTTCTCGGACATAATTTACTTAAACTAATCATACGTTCAAATTATCGTGGTATACCAATTGCTAATGTTAAACTAATTATTAAACAAGTACTAGAAGGCCTTGATTATCTACATCGAAAATGCCAGATTATTCATACCGATGTACGAGAAATTTGTTTTCTTTTTTGCATTTACTCTCATTTCAAATGTATGTATTCTTCTATAGATTAAGCCGGAAAATGTTCTCATGTGTGTTGATGAAGAACATATACGTGCTTTAGCATATCAAGCTGCTGAATGGCATAAACTTGGAATTAAACCTGTTGGGTCTGCTGGTAAATATCCGAGAGAGAAAATGTTTCTTTTTATTATTATACGAAAGACGAATTAAAAAAAGTGTTGAAGCATAGACATTAAATTCCCTCGTTCCCGAACTTCCTCATCATGAATTACTTCCTTATTGCGTTTCGGAAGGAAATAAGTCCCCAACCAGATAAGAAAGAAGATATAATCCTACCATAATTATCAATAATAGCTACAACAAGTCTGCAGGGATTCGGGTATCAGTTAATTAATTTTTTTAAATTAGTTGCTACAACACATATTGTCAACAAACCGGATTTGAAAACGATGTCGAAAAATAAGAAGAAAAAATTAAAGAAAAAAGAAAAACAGAAACAAAAAATGCTTGAATTAACACAACAACAAATTCAAGTAAATATTTATTTGTTATGATAAAGTTTAACCGTGCAAATTTTAGGATGCGGAAAAACAAAAGCAAAAACTTTTAAATTCACCAAATAAAATTAATTTAAAGAAAATGTCTATTAATGATGAAACAGATCTTCCAGCAGACGAAAAAAATTTCAATGGACATAAAGAAAATTCAGCAGTCGACAGTGACGAAGACGATACAGCTGTGAAAACTGTTAATGGACATGAAACCGAGCAATCACTCAATGAACAAGCAGCTATGGCTGCCGCGGCTGCTATTTCAGGCGATGCAGATAAACAGACAAAACCAAATGAATCTGATTCATTAGATAAACGTAGCTCATGCTTTTTAAGGTTTCGAATAAATCCTAATTCAATTATTTTAGCTCGACCCATGGCTGAACGAACACCAAATCCAGTTTTTGAAGTTATACCAGAAGATATTCTTCAAGTTAAAATAGCCGATTTAGGCAATGCTTGTTGGACAGTAAGTTGATATGAAAAAAAAGAATCTTTTATTTTTAATATGATTCGCTTTTTAGTATCAACATTTTACAGAAGATATCCAAACACGGCAATATCGTTCACCTGAAGTTATACTTGGTGCTGGCTATGATTCATCAGCTGATATATGGAGTGTAGCTTGTATGGCATTTGAATTGGCAACTGGTGATTATTTATTTGAACCACATAGTGGCGATGATTATAATCGAGATGAAGATCATATTGCACATATTATTGAATTAGTTGGTCCTATGCCTCTTGAAATAGCGCATTCGGGTCGATATTCAAAAGAATTTTTTAATAGAAGAGGTAAGGAAAATTCTATTTGTATATATATATATATATATGTGTGTGTGTGAAAACAATCTTTTAGGACAATTACGTAATATAAAACAATTAAAACCATGGGATTTATATCATGTGCTGAGTGAAAAATACAAATGGCCACCGTATGAAGCTATTGAATTTACACATTTTCTCGAACCAATGCTTCACTATGATGTTAATCTACGTGCGACAGCTGCTGAATGTCTAATGAACCCATGGTAAATAATCAAAGAAAAGTTTATTTTTCCTTCTTGAAAGACATAGCAAAAGAAACGTTTTGTTTTTCAAGTACTATTTGATGTTAAACAATGAATGAAACATCTGGCATTAATTTATTTCTCTTGAAAATAATTCTATTAAATCCCAATTATAGCATTCTTGTCTTAACAGTAATGTTAACCTTCTAACAGTTCGGATGTTATGCATCGAATGTCATGTTTATTCAAGTTTCACCCGATGATTGATATAGATATGCTGAGAAAGTAGTATGTCGAGGGAAAGACTTTGCTTGTAAAATATTGTTTTGAAGGTTATAGAAAATGATTTGGTTTCGTGACTCTTGAAATATCGCTCGCAGCAACTGTATCGTATTTCAAATAGGACCCAACGGCGGGCTACTTGAGACGGCATATCAGAAATCAGATGAATACAAAAGATTTTACTACATTCATTTTTAGGATAACTGGTGAACCATTATTTGATAATTCTGTCGATGGTCTCATGTATTCTGAACAATTCGATTATCGACCTGACAACGAAGCTAATCCATCGGCCGCTGAAGTCGGAGCTCTTGGTTTTGATTTTCGTTCACATGCAACTGAATTCGATAATTTCTTGTCAGCAGCTTTGGAAAATCCACAAGTTCTACGTGGCGTTGCTGCTGCTACTTTTATTGGAGGCAATTTCGGTGAAGATGATATGTGGGACGACTATGAAGACATCGATGAAGATAACGATAACGATGACGATGACAGTAGTCAAGGCGAACTTGATGATTGATAAACAAAACATGATGGCTGTGTGTATGCATACATGTTTAGCGTATCACTATTGAATATTTTCGAAACTGACACAGGAATACCTAAATACCAAATGCGAAAGCGTCTGACTGTGATACACCTAAGTATAGTCTAACAGCCATATTTTTTCTTTCTTTTTTCGTTTGCATGTATGTTTATAAAACAGTGTTTGCAAAAAACAAAAGCATTCCCAAACATTAGAAGAGCATCAAACAAAATGAGATCAATGTACATTTTTTTTTCTAAAAAAACAACATTCAAACAAGTATTTTTGTTTCTCACATACGTATCCCGTTCAATTCTTGTTTGCTTGTCTCTGATGTTTTCTCTTTCTTTTTCTTGCGATAATAAGTTTTCTTTTATGCTTTGTCCTTCTAATATCTATCGTTGTTCACTCCATATAGAAACTTTTTTTCTTTTTTCTTTTGTATGCACTTAGCGCGCTTGTTAAAAAATCGTAACGATGGATTGGTATGACACATACACATTAGTCAGTTTTTTGCGCTTGAGATATTACTCTGTACTTCCTTCTTTTTTCTCTTTTTTCATTTTCCTGGCTCGCCTTCTCAAGATCTCATCATCCTTAAATAAAACAAAATCACATTCACTTGAAAAATTAACATTGATAGATTTTTAGCAAACGAATTCACTATGTTAGCTTCTTCTCGTGATTCACATTTACATCCTGGTAAATTTGGACTATCTTCATTTAACATTTGTGGTGATTGATTTTGTATAATCCACATTTTAAAAAATGGAAATGTTTTACCAATTCGGATAAAAAATTCATGTTCAAAAGGACGTTTTTCCACCTGGAAAACTATTTGTAAGATTGTGATGGATACGAATATACTATATGACGTCGACTAATATTTTCCTTTGGGCAATAATCAATACAAGAAATAATTTGATGGAAAAGAAATCGAATAATCAATCAATAGATGTGAATGAATACTAAACATGAACTTTTTAATTTTGACAAATTTTATCATTCTTCAAATTATTTTCATTAGTAAATGTTTTACCATGACTACAACGATAAATCGAAATATACAAATAAAGTTCTTCTAGATTCGACATTCGATGTAGGAGAGACTACAACCCATCGGGATCAAAAATTTTCTATCCCAAACACGGTCGATCAGGATTTTGGGTGTGGGTGTAGGTGTTGGGATCTTCTCCACACCCAAAAGTTTTAGAAAACAATTTCACGTACACTGAAGACGATTTCTGTTATAGCTACCGATTAGCTTCTAAACATGTAAATTATACAATGGCAACGTGAAAATGAAAAAGATGACATTTTAATACTAGTTCGGTTGTTCACTATGTTTAATAGGTTTCCGACATATGTTCGGAAACCAAGCTAGTATTCTGGCATACGCTTTCAACGTTTCCGATCCTCAGAAACCCAAAAGGTTCAGGAAAAAATTTGTCGAAAACTGATAGGCTACTGACGACACGCTTTAAGTTTCCGAGAAGATTTTCAAAACAAGAATGGTTTCCTGGGATAATTTTTTGGTTTTGAGAATTGTTTGATGGCTTCTGAGAAAACTATTAAAGGTTTCCTATCCGCGTTCTGGAAAGCCGAACTGTTTCAGGGGACTCGGAAACCTATAAGGTGATTTCAAAAATTCAGCTTAGAGCCGAAAACCTTTCCGGATACGTGTGTGAGTTTCCGAAAGGGCTTACGAAGGGATTTCGGTTTCTGGGGAAACGCTTTTATTTAGAGTGTAGTTTAGATACTAACTATAGGCATTGTAAGACTTATATTTGACTCCATTAACGACTAGTGTTCTTAGGCATCCTTTTTACTGCGTTGGATAAATTGGACGGTCGTCATCATGCCCCGTCTCAACTAGTCTTTGCCTCAAAAAAGTCCTCGTCTAGGACTACTCTGCTTATAACATAATTGCTGCATATATTAACAAAATTCAGACCAGTCCTAGGCTAGTCTTTCTTTAGAAAAAGACAAAAAAAAGACACGTTTAATGACTCCAGTCATCCGTTTACTTTAGACGGTGATGAATGACGTACTGAAATTCTGGACTCGTCGTGGACGAGTTGATTTTGAGACAAAGACTAGACGAGACGAGTCGACTTGGTTAAAGAAAAGACTAGCCATTTATCCCGTCTTTTGCTCACTTGGGTTTTGAGTAGAGAACACCACAGTGATGAGAAAAACAAAGCGAAAAATCCAATAAGTATAGCAAGAAACGAGTGATAGTATAGATAGGCAAAATGAAAGAACGACAAAGATCATGCGTGCAAGTGAAATGGAAAGATAATCACAGGAAGAGACGAATAACGAACGAAATAAAGTTACACCAACACGAGTATAAATGGAATACATAATCTTAGCAATGAAAGAAAAAAACAAACGAATGGAAAATCACGTACACAGTTAGGATAGAGAGAGGAGAGGCAGAACGAAAATCACACATGTAAAAGTGTGGAAAAAAGTGGTAATCCTGCAAGATAGGGAGAATACATCATATTCCGCAATGTTGAACATTTCGGAACCAGTTCCGCTCATGGAACCAATTCCATCTAATTCCCGGAATTCAGTGCACTCACACTTATGGCAACACCCCACTAATACCCACATCATCAAGTTCTCTTCTGTATTTACTAAGATTACCGACTCATATTTATATATATTTCGAAGACGAATCAAATAGAAAGAGACAAAGGAGAATAGCATAGAGGTTATTGGGACGATAGGTACCGTCCCATAATATAAATCTTCGCATTTTCTCTTTCGTCTCTTCATAGTAACAATCCAACGCATAAAGATAAAAACTGATTTAACTTAAATTTGCAAAACAAAAGAATGTCTCATCATTGGTTATTGTTATCCATATTTCTAACAATTTTCTTATGGCAAATATCAAATCTTCATTCAATTTCAATTAATTCTGGCAAAAGTAGTCATATGATCGATGAAAACAATAGTACTCAACGCGTGAAAGATGATTTAATTCGGTTAATTGAAAATATTCTTGGCGAATCAAATCCACACAAACAAACACTTTTATTGAATGAATTACGTGAATATCTCAATCGTATGTGTACTGTTCGTTATTTTGGATCATCACATGCTCAAGCATGTCAACGTATCGTTGATGTTACTCATGAACTTGATACTAACGATCAGACACGCACTGAAGACCATGGCATAGAAAACTGTTTCTTTTGTAATGGTTTTATTGACTGTAGAAATAATGCCGACCGATAAGTATTCACAGATGAGAAAATTAAATTAACATTTCAATCATCGATATAAAGCGTGTCAAAGACGTTTATCAATAAAAAAAAGAACTATTTTGAAAAGAAGAACCTCGAAAATAGTTACAACGAAATTTTAATCATTTTTTTATTGAAATTTTAATTAACTACGAGAGATGTATTTATTCAATAAAAGAGTTAAAAGTCCACTATTAGAAACGATTGAAAGCAATCAAGAATAGGTACTGAAATTAAATAGAAAGAAGAAGATTGTTGCAGGTTGAACTTATCATAAAATATGAAATAATTGAACGCTAATAAAACAATAGTAACAGGTTTAATTTACGAATGGTTTCATATTAAAGATACAGACTTTACTAATCGCCTAGTTTATTTCAATTTATTTATCGATACCTATACCATTGTCATGACAAGCAAACTTGCATGAAAGACAAAACTGATTTCGTTTTTCTCTCGTATCTCGTAGGTTTTCAGCACTGATATGTATCGGTGATCTTCTATCTATATTGCATTTGATTCAAGAAGCGTTCATGTAGATTGAGAAAAGATTATTTTTATTTGAAGTATTTCAAAAACGAAAACCATTGCAATTAAGAAGAGGCGAGAAACAAAAGAATTTGAATCATGATTCTTCTCTGCGGAGTAGAGCATATCGATTGGTTGATAGAAGGAAAAACAAAACGTTTATAATATTCCAGTGTAGTTTTATGGGTTAGCTGCTACAAATTTTTCTGATGCTGTTAATTCACGACTGTACATAAATAATTCATCTACAGAACCTGTAAATCCAGCTGAACAACCTGGTGCAGAAAGGAACGCATAGCCCCCATCACCTCCTATGAATAGATAGAGAGAAGTACCTGCAGCAACATAACTAAAAGCTCCTGAAGTTGCATAAAAAGTTCCATTAATATAGAGTCTGAAGCCGCTACTTGGGCAATATGTAGCGCCCACGTGAGTCCAAGTGTTGAGAGGAATAATAGAACCTGACACAGATATCAAAGCACCACTATACGAATGTAACACGATATGGCCACTCGCTGTCGTCATTATGATACTAGCACACCAACCTGTTTGAGCAATTACAAATAAAATAGTTGGCAATGCATAGCTGCCCGTTGGCTTAATCCATAGAGAATAGGTGTGCGGCTGATTGGACACTCCCAAAAGTAGAAATGATGTATAGCTAGTATAAACACTGGCACTTGGATTCACCTGAATAGCTTGATTAACTCTTCCAGGTACAAGACTTGGACTTCCGATTGTCGTTGTATTGATACCGTTCAGACTATTATCAGTCGTTAAACTAGTATCAAATGAATAGTACGCCATAAGAGTTGCATCGCGTAGAATGTCACTAGGAGTTTTCGCACTCGATACGAATTGCATTAGAGCAAGGTAACCATCGAAATAGTTCGAGCCTGGTGGTATTGCATAGGTAACACCAATAGTTGTATCGCCTGATGAACCTTGAAAGGAAAATAATGATCGAGAACCATTAAGTATGCCATTTAAGTAGGCCTGTAGTGTTTGTGTTTCGAAACTATAGACACATGCAACGTGTGACCATGCATTCATACTTAATGATGTTGCACCTGACGTGTCATTGGCTCCAAAGCCACAAGTCAGTTTATAATTTCGAACAAGAAAGTACATACATTTATTGGTCATGTTTCTTGGCATTGGCCGAAAATAGCATAGTCAGCTGTCGTGAAACCAATCGGACAAATCCAGGTTTCAATCGTGAAATTCGACGAATAGAATAGAATTTGCCCCGATGGAATTTTCACGTATTGCGCTGATGCTCTAATTAAATGTATTGCTAATCCGATGCCCCAATAACTTGTAATATATGAGATGCCTGCTGATGATACGCTAGTGTAATTGTTTTTTGAATCGTGTGCATTGCCATTGAATGGCCAAAATATATCAAATACTGGCTCTATTAACAAAGAAAAAATTAGTGGAATGTGCTAGTGTTTCTTGTTGACACTGCTCCCTATACGCGTACCAGTTTTGTTTTAAATCCTGCTACTAGCTCAACAATTATATCGGATGGGATAATCGATTTAATAAGGGATTCATTGGCCTTCGTCTTTAAACTTCTAGATGATCAACGAAAATATTATCGATTTGTTCCATAACTTAATATCTATCAACCATGTGATTCATGGGTAGTCTGAAAAACACTTCTCTATACATACGAATACACCAGTTGGATATATTCAAACTGGCAGAAGCATTGAAATCGTTTTTTTTTATCACACTGAGCTCCATCCCAACATGAACCAATAGGACATTCACAAGTGCCGAAACCTGAATATGTCAGGTATCGATCTTCAACACATTTCGAACAAGGGGTTGGCCGTAATTATTGAAAAAACTTGTCGGTATTGTGACTGATCCAATACGTTGAGTTTGTACTGATGAAATGGTATTGCTTGTATTTAAAGTATCATTGAATAGACGATAGAGAAGTGACGAAGTGTCATAGTCGAATGTACGACATTGTCTGTTGAGATTACACGCTGTAATGAATGGAAAAGAATCAGAAAAAAGCAAGATTTCACTCAACATTAGTGGCAGCGGTTACACTCTCAGGCAATTGGTAATCTTGAAACTTACATGAACTACATCGTAGAAGAGATGACGCATTACTTTGCGAGAGTAATGAAGACTGAACACTTGGCTGAAATTTAGTTCTCCAATCGCTAAGCCAAATATAAGATTGAAAAGTCATGTCTGCTACGAGACATTTGACAAAGACTAGAATCAATGGCTTTCGAAATGTCTTCATACTGTTATTATTCTGCTGCACACAACAGAGAGTTAATGACGAATGACATCTAAAATTCTAGTCTTCTATAGCTATAGTATTTTTTCAGTTATCGTTACTTTGGTAATATATTTCTTCTTGTTTCTCTCTGCTCATAACAAAATGAAAAACACTTTGTATAATTGAATGACTTCATATGTTAGATGGTATTCTATATGCATCTACCAGCTTATTAGATTCATTTGTGTCTTGTATTCTACTTCAGCATCAAAGCAGCATCTTAACAGATTCAAGTTTATATAATACAATTATGTATAAAGAAAAATCGAACAATTGTATTCTATTACAATCATATACAGTACATTGCTTGATAGATAGAGTTAAGTTTGTTATAATTGAGAAATGCCATATATATGTTTGGCTGATTGCTTTTACTCCTAGACGACAATCACAATACATTGATAGCACATTCACGGACGTTGCTTTTGTGAATAAAAACTTTAAACACCCACTTGTCTGCTAGAAAAATATAATTGCCTTAGTTTTAATTGAATGCAGTTATAAATTATGTTCGGTGTTAGTTACCAAAACTTTACCTGGACGATGTCATCTAAAAACTGTCACTCTTTTTCCAACGAATTGAAATAAAATAGAATGCTGGTACAGTTAACAATTCGCAAAATGACTTTTCTTGCAACTTCTTAGTAAAAGGGTGTAGGTATGGGTGTGAATTTGAGTGTATTTATCATTTCTTAATAAACATCCACATCCATACCCTTTTATATCTATATTTTTCTGAGCATTCATTATCACGCAAGGCTTGTTTTATGTAAGATCTTTGCTAAGCTTAAAACATTACTGTTGGATTCGCTTGTCACGTTAAATATCAGTTTTCATGTGTCCTGTGCGACAGAGAGAATAATACCAGCTAATTTTCATGTTCATTAATGGAATGCATTGAGCAACTTCGGATCTCAAGAGTGGCTCTACTTACCATACAACACACATGTATAGAGTAGATAGTAAGACTAAGAGAGGTGCATATATATGGAGGGTGTGGGTGTGGGTGTTTATTAAGAGATGATAAATACAGTCAAATTCACATCCACACCCTAGAAACCTCACAGACTACTCTCTTTTCATTAACTTCCGTCAATTGATAGCATAACTTCAGAAAAAGACTCACTATCTAATTGTTAGTTCGTGAAATTCTCCACTGTCTACTCAGATTTAGTTCGAGACTAACTTTAGTACCAATCGCATCCATGAAATTCGAGAAACTAATCGGAAAATTATTAGGAGGTTCAAACTCTGGTGATCTTTGCGCCAAATGGTCGCCACGAGCGCAATTCTTAATTTAAACGCACACGACCAGCATGCTTCGATATTTCTGATACCGTAGGTATAAGAATAACTAAAGACTAAATATTTTTGAAAGCACATAGAAAGAATATCAATTTCATATTTTCCAATTGAAGTTTCTTCCCAATCAATTCTATCTAACTCGTAAATAAGATGCATTTTTGGAAGAAAATTCAACAACTAAATATGCCTGGAACGCTTTGAAATATTTTATTGAAAACCAATATCTTCCGGTGAAAAATCAGTCACTCTGATGTTTCTATATAATCTAGAATGTCGAACATGAAATATACTTCCATAGTAAGTGATATTAATGAGTACGAGTTTGGCTCTGACATGTTTGCAATGGCTAGTGCATCATATTTATCGTTGACAAAATGACTTCGTTTTCCCCCATTTCCTTTTATTTACTTCAATTAATCAACCATGTCATTTTCAATAGATATATAGCATTTTTTCATATGTGTGCTCGTCACCGTGCTTTTTTTCTCTTTCAATCTTCTTCGTTTTTTGTTCACTTGTTCTTAGGTTTTATGTTGTTATGATCAAAATAAAAATATACGCTGATATTTGCGTAGACAAATAAATCACATTCGAATCTCGAAGTTTCTTTTTCGATGAGTAAAATAAACCGTGGTTGTTGGATCTCATATAGGAGAAGTACTGACCATGCGTTGTTAAATGTCGGAACTTTTCATAACCAAGACTCTTTCTATAGGCTAGAAAAATATCAGTGAATTGCATGTCGAATACGACGAAGAAGAAAATCACTTCACGTAGGATATAACACATCGTTCACGTTTGTGTGATACGACCCTAGCCGAACTTTTTGTTGCAAGCGGATGCAATTCTTGACTTTCTTGATCAAGAAAGTCAAGAACTATGGACACATCTTGAGGCAAGACATGAGGCCTTTCGGTGAGCTCAAATTCTTTAACTTCTTGCTCATGCATTTGAATTTTTATCTGAGCGTTTCCGTTATTAAAGAACTTTTTCAATTTTACATTCAAAATAACTCAACTTGCACTAGAAATGTATAGCTGTATTTTTTTGTAACTCATGCAAACATTAAAACGCTTGTCTTGAGCAAGAAAGTCATGCACTATGGACACGTCTTGAGCTCTAGTCTTGGCAAGCGCATGAATAAAAAAGCTCGACGAGGGAATGATCTCGAGACTGAAACTTTTCCTGGTTTCCTCTATCGGATTTTTTGGACGAAGTAAAACACGAATCTTACATTTTTGCAGAAAAATTCAATATAGTGAGATTTACTGTTGATTTAGCCATTGTTAAAATGATGTCATCAGGAAATGCTAGCCACACATTTGTTCATCGAGATAATTAAATCTTCAATCAAAATTGTTCTCTATGAACAGAGTTTTCACAGTAATGAATTAAATTATCGGTATTTTAGCCGTTCAATTAAAGCTTTCATGTGCTTAGAATGTGAAGCCAATCAATTATTGTTTTATTTTATTCTCGATCTTTTTTTTCGAAAATTCGACTCTTGCATTGTACAACAATTATTTTCTGTATCTACTATTACCTGATGATTATTTGAAATATTCGTCTTTATATGCCTGTCTGCTCATCGTCATATTAGTGCTAGAAATGGTGTATAATACAAAAAATTCCGAATAACATTTAAGAACAAATGTGAATCAAATCGATAGAAACGACTTATTTTCCGTCTAGCAGTTTTTCAGTTTAGTTCGTCACTCATATCATATTTTGAAAATATATGTAGAAGGCAAAAACTACATACTATATTGTATTATAAAAGAAAAAAAAGATTATCGACGACTATGTGGTACCATTTGCATGAGTTCAATAGGAATGGGAAAGACAATAGTTGAATTACGTTCAGCAGCAATTTGTGTTAATGTCTGCAGATATCTTAACTGCATAGCTATGGGTGATTCATTGATCGTATCGGCCGCTATTTTTAAACTACGACTTGCTTTCATTTCGCCTTCGGCTGCGATAATTTTTGCACGTGCATCTCGAGATGCTTCAGCTTCAGCTGCCATCGCTTTTTGTAATGCTACTGGTAAACGAACATCTTTGACTTCAACCCGTTCGACTTTCACACCCCAAGGATCGGTTGCTTCATCTAGACCTGTCTGAAAAAAAAATTTAAAAAAATAATAAATTGATTAAGACAAATATCAATATTCTTACTTGAATTACAGTATCGATTTTATCTCGTTCAGCAAGAATTTCATGAAGTGTTTTAGTACCCAAAACCTAAATTGAATAGTTTTAATATTGTAAACACGACAAGCACAACTATATATTCAAAACAAAATACATTTCGAAGTGTTGTTGCTGCTAAAAGTTTAGTTGATTTTGCTGCATCTTCCACATTTGTTATTGATATAACAGCATTAAATATTCGAAAATAGACAACGGCATCAACTGCTACTGTTACACTATCTTTTGTTAGAATTTCTTGTGGTGGTACATCGAAAGTGACTGTTCGAAGATCAACTTTACTGTAGGTATCCACGCATGGTAAGATAAAAAATAAACCGGGTCCTAGAAAGTAGAAAAATAAAGAAATATTACATTCAATTATTTAGCTTATGCCTTAAAATTATCGTCATATACATAGAGAAAACCTTATATCATAGAAATAATTCGATATATATCGAGCACAAGTTAAGAAAACTAAAAATTTAAATATCAAAAGTAAACAATAGAAACTTTTACTTACCACGTGCTCCATTTGCTAAAATGCGGCCAAGTCGAAAAATGACAGCTCTTTCATATTCTTGAACTACCTTTTATTTTCGCAGAAATTAATTAATTAAAATAAATAGATAATTTACATACCTTAAGACAGAAGCATAGCGATAATGGAAATGTAACAATGACAAGTAAATAGCTGAGAATAATCAATATGCCAAAACAATAACCCGATTGTTCACGTTTGTCTTTCAGGTCTATAAAAAGAATGTTAGTTCTTTTTCTTTTTTTTTTTGAAAAACAATTATTCGATATATGTTATTATTTAATTGTTGAATTTTAGAAAACAAAATTTTACCATAAGTTTCTGAGCAACGACGTTGATTTATTGATAAAGCCTGTCGGTCTATATTAATTCTCGATGTTGATAAATGTTGACTACGATTAGTTAAATACTGACAATCTTGATGATTATTACGCGATGAATTTCGATAATCATGTCGCTTTTCATTACGCGACATCATCATTCTAACTGAATATTTTTTTTTCTCTCTCTCTCGCTTTCTTCTTACTGATTTATCTGTAGTCCGTTCTTAAATAAACATAAGTGCTAACTAGTGTCTACATACTCATATGATAGCAATCAATTGCTATCATAATTGACGAAACAAGTACATACTATATCTCTTTTCTAAACATATTAGTACAATGTATATATATATATATACATATAATCTTCGTTTTCTATCAGTGAACTTGAAATTTTATGGTCAACAATATAAATATGTAATTTTTGTTTTCTTTGAAGCATCATTGTAGGAAATGTTACCATCGAATAGACGAAAGATATTACTATTCCACTGTCTTTCTAATTCATCGATTGTTTTCTTTCGATCACGTATTAATTAAGGTAGACCGGACAGAATTAATCAATAATAACAAAACAAAAGTAGGGAACAATTTATCAGATTTTTTTCTTGTTCTCATTAGATGTTTTTTTTTCATCAGGGTAAATATGGTGAACTGTAAAAGTCAGTTATAAAAGGATAATAATGTGAAAAGATCATCATCAAGGAAGACAAGGCTATGTCTATATCGGAACATATTGTTTGTATGTTATTTGTATGGGATAAATTACATTCAATGCGTGATATTATATGCATCACATCTATCTAATGACATAAAAACTACTATTCATCATTCGTATCATGAAACCAGAGATTAATCTAGTGAAAGTATATATTAAAAAGCATTTTCTAATTCAAGAACCTCTAATAGGAAGATAAATAAACAAAGAATATTTTTTTGTAAATCAACATACCATCGGTATTTCGACGTACCAGCGTCTGGGGTGGAATGAGAAATGAATTTCTAGAGAGACGTCGAGCAATATTATTATCATTGCGTTGAAGCGGTTGTAACATTGGTGTTAAATATTCATCAGCACTTATTGAGCCAAATTGTGTACGATAAACATCAGGATAAGTCGATGGTCGTCTAACACCATATTGTGCCGAATAGGTAAAAGCTCCAGAAACTCCACCAGCTTCAGTATCGAGCATCGATGTGTCAAGCATCTTATACGTAGGTGATAAACGCAAACAACCGATTTATCGTCGTTATTTCTATTTCCTTTAGTGACACTGCAACGTGTCTCTAAACAGTTGTTGACATGCCCATATTTCTCTTTCACAATTTTTCTTTTACGAAATACTGTCGTCACCTATTCTCGTAAAACTTATTTTCGTGTATCTAGGCTATCTGTGTATGGATACTATTTCACGGTCAGTTTACTAGACAAGAAGACTGATGTCGTGCTGATTGACAAGTAACTACACAAACACTCAGTCCGCAAAGATAAGATATTACAAGGAGAATTCTCTAGTTCTTTTTCTTTTTCTTCTATCTTTTCTCTATTGCTTGTTTTTGACGATGATTAGCACTCGACTTGTTGTATTTGTCAAATTTCTCTTTTTTAGATTCTTTTTCTTCTTCTTCTCCTTCTTATTGCTAGTCCTTCATTCTCGTCATCTGAAAAAGATATTCTGTGCGAATGTTGTGGTTACTTTGTGGCTATTCGCGTAAGAGAACAACGATGAGAATGATCATGATGATGATGATCATCATCGTCATCATCTATTCATTCACTCACTGTACTCGATCTAATCTATCTACTATTAGATCAGCCTCTTAGCATAACGAGAAATGTTTCTTTTTTTCTCTATTTCTGATCTGATAGCAGCAGCAGCGCGGCATGCATAATAATTAGGAATCGAATTATTTATTCATCAACATCTTCCTTGTTGATTAAGACGATCTTCACAATCTATTTTAATACTCTTGAATGATTTCACATTTATTTATCTAAGCAATGATATATATATATATATGTAAAAAATCAAAATGAAATACGACGAACGATTCGAAGACTGCTCATGACTAATCAAGTGTTTGTCTATTATAAAATCAACATGATAGTGTTATTGATCTTTAAACATATTTAGTTATTGTAAACGCACGGATCATATTAATTTGCATTAATATGAGTCAAGAATATAAAAGATAACTCACATTTTCTTTTGATTGCATAAGAAATTCAACGATAATAATATTTTAATTTTGTATACGAAGTTTTCATCGGTCTAATTTATTTTTGAGTGACATCAACTCGACCTTTTAAATAAAGAAAACCCATTAATTATAACTTAAACATCAGTTATCATCGGTCGTTTTTCTTGAGCTTATCTGAGAATGTTTTGATTACCAATAAAAAATTGATTGTCCTTGGTTCTATCTAGATGACATAATAGACGACATCGTTCTAGTCTCATCAAATCTATTTCTCATTATTGGAGTATATTGAGTGTTTAAAAACAGCTTAAATGCATAGACACTTTCTTTGGTTGGAACAGGAAAAGTAATAAAACGTTAGCGGTTTATTGTTGTTACTGTTTGTGTTTGGCCTTAGGCTAACGAGAAGAAAATTAATGGATCTAATACTAAGAATCTTTAATGATTTGAAGGAAAAAATATTGAAAAGCAAAAACAAACTTTGAACAACGGCTACCATAAAATCTAGGGTGGAAAAGACAAGGAAGAGGATTCGATTAATTTTTGTATTGCAAAACATTGAACTGAAATTACGGAATGACTTTTACTGCCTTGCAGTCATATGAAAAATGCATTTGATTGAACTACTTATGATGATCAAGGTTAAGTGATTTCTTCGATAATCTAACTGTTGATTTGCGTGTCTCTGTTATTATGAAATATGATGAATAGATATTAAGAAGTTCTATGTCTACAAGTTTTTCACTTGACATTGCTAATGAGCTTCATTTTTGATTCTATATTTGTATAATTGTCAACTTACAAACGATTTAAAGTGTACGTTATCTATGAAAATAGTATTGATAGTCGGGTAATCGAGTTCATATTGTCTTATTGAATAATACAATAAAGTATAAATTAATACAAAAAGAACAAGCAACGTCTTCATTCAATTAGCTTTATCAGATAATATGACAGAATAGTGGAACACAAGACTGGATCATGCCATAGAAAGATGATCTCTATTAACTCTATTATAAGTCATATGAACCAAATAATATGATGTGCAATGACCGATTTGTTCGATTTTCATTAACAGATTTTCGAAATGTGTAAAAGTTGGACCCGGACACAAAAAATCGTATTTCCTTTTTTTTTAAATATCAGACAAACTGCTGTTGTTGACTATTTCTAGTGAATAGATATTGATAGACATCTGTCAAATAGTATACACGAAACATATTATAGTTATAATGTCAGATACTGCAGCTTCCAATTAGTGACAATATGATCATGGTGGTCTTGTATAGGTTTTAGAAAATAATAACTACTAACATGTGATTCTAATATTACAGTGACTAGAAACAGCTGTCGAATCGATATTACGTAAAGGTACATGAGCATCAGCCGATTATGCTACGGAGTAAATGTATTCAACAAGAGTCTGTATATCGAATTATAAGTCTCTCATCTTCTACCATTGAAAATATTTTTATAGAACAAAGATTGTTATTTCTGATTTGAGTGGTATTTGCGTTTGATACTTCTCTATGACTATGACTAACACTTTGTTTAGGATGGTTTCGTCTAATAATGATTTTATCATACGGTGGCTGGTATTGTTCTAACACACAAAGAAAATAATATTTTATTATTATTATTGATCTTAAAAACATCTTGAATAAGTATGGAAACCAGCTCGTCAGTTACGTTTGAATAAATGCAAAGAGATGGAATTATGTTCAAGTGACTCGATCGCTTGGATCAGAGGCGATTGAGCTTTGTTGAGCCCGGTGGGAATCATAATTTCTTTTTGTTGCCGAATTTCATCAAAGTGGTCAACATAAAACAAACATGATTAGAAAATACCAAAAAAATAATTTTCTCGGTTCGCTCTTTCTACACAGGTGCCAATAAAAAAGACTATTTAAACGAATTTGTATCATTTCTATGATCAAAGAATAGTGCAAATCTTGAAAACTTGTTAAGAAATCAAATGAACTTCAAGCATCTTGTGCCCCAGTGGTTCCGCCGCCTATTCTAAAATTTGAAAATGCATTTAAGCAATTATGCTTATCTCGATTTCACTTAAATGTGTTAATGAGTTCATTGAATCGTATCATCAGTTTTTAGAGGAAGAAAAAAAATCGATTTACTACTGTTGATAAAAACAAAACGGCCATGCTTAATCGAAACGACTATGTTTTACGATACTTGTCCTTTCTATGAACCTTCGGGCTATTAATAATAATTTCTATGGATGCAGTACGCACAATAAATGTTGATGTTTTTTATATAATTGAAAAAAAATAAAAAATTGAAATAAAAAAAACTTGAAAAATGCTTTCAAATGAGGTAACACAAGGAAAAATATTAATTAGTTGACATATTGTTTTTGTACAAATAGGGTTTAAATGATATTCTTGAAGACGCCCAATCGGAACTTGGCGATGAAGGCTATTTGCAAGATGAAGAAATCAATCTTAACACCAATGTGGATGAAAATATTAGAGAAACGTCTACTAGACCACAAACCAATAAATCTACAGATTCAAAATTACGTGGAAGTAGTACAGCTGCTCGTTTGATACCATCCCGACCCCGTCTATATGATTTCAGTGCTACTAATCTTAAACGTGATCTAGCGATAGAACGTATTATTGAGTCACGTAAAGCAACTATCATTGAAAATGAGTATACCGTGTTAGCACAAACAACATCACAAGGTCGTCGACAATCGCCTCATGCTCGTATGAACTCAGTAAAACTACATACAATAACAAATCCAACCGAAGCCGAAGCCGAAGCTAATACAAATGATCCCAAAGATCGAACAACTTCTCGGCAGAGTAAAAACACATTATCAACACCTGCAGTTCAACTTGATAATGACAAATGGGACGATGGATTAAATACTGACTTTGATAGAGGTAATTTTTGTTGCGATGGAATAATAATTTTCGTGATTTTTGCATTTGTAGAAAGTATTGCATCGATAGATAAATCAAGTTTACAGATCTACGAAGAAACATGTAAACGATTAAATATTTGTCCGTGTTCAATGGTTATACGATCTTTACATACAACAAAAATTAATTTAGAAAATTATGGTCTTGGACCAAAAGGATCAGCAGCTTTAGCCGTAGCTCTTGTTGTAAGTTCTTTTTGGTTTTTTTGTAAAAATGTTTCGAATTTCTTGTAATGAATATTTAGCGTAACACATTTGTTACCACACTTAATCTATCCGGAAACGATATTGGTAATAATGGCATGTCGCATATCTATCAAATTCTTCAGGAAAATTCTTATATTGAGGAATATGTAGGTATTCTATTTTCAATATTGTCTCATGCGAATGATTTTTCAATCGTAGAATTTATCTTACAACAATCTTGGTACAAAAGGTATTCGTAAATTAGCAAAAGTTAGTGCTGCCAACGTTAGTTTAAGAAGTTTGAATATCGCCGGTTTGTGTGATTAATTGAAACGTTCTATTCTTATATTTGCATTTCATATAGGTAATGGACTAACAGCGAATGATATTAATATATTTCTATCGAAAATCGAGGCAAGTGATAAACTCCTCACAGATCAAAAAAAGAGAAATTATTTTAATAAATATAAATAGGATCATCCGAACCTTAAAGATCTGAATTTAAGCCATAATATATTAGGCGAAGACGGTGGAAAATATGTTGCTAAATGGCTACGTAAATAAATCTGTTGTTTTTCTCCCATGCGAAAACAATTGATATTTAAAATTTTTTCTTTATCAGGCGACAATAATATTTTACTCAACCTTGATATTAGTTGGTGTAGTATTCGTTTATCGGGCACTCTCGCTATAGCTGAAGCAATTGGCGACAATAATAAACTACTTTCACTTGATTTATCAAATAATAGTTTTGGAAATGATTCATTAGATAAACTAACAAGTTCATTATCACGAAATATGATATTAAATTTTTTGAATTTATCTGAGAATCAAATATCTAGTCGATATACTACACAAATAAAAGAAGATCCATCGATTTTACTTGTCGGAAGCGAATCTTCAGTTTACAAATTACTTGTTGCTGTTGCAACGAGTCAAGCATTGAAACAATTTCAAGTAATGAAAAGCATTTTTTTTCCTTTGTTGTATCATTGCTATTTATTACGATTTTGTTTAGATCGGAAAAAATCATCTCGATGCACGTTGTGCTATGATTATGCTTGAATCATTGGGAAAAATTGAAAATATTATATTAGAAGAACTTGATTTAACTGTAGGCTTTTGTTATGAATCTAATATTATCTATACGTATATACATATCTATAGGGTTTAACGTTAACGTTAAAACAAATGGCTGATATCCACGGATTTTTTGCCAATCATCCAAAATTTACGTGCTACGTTGGACCAGTAAGGCAAACCGTAGAACAATTTGCAAATAATTTAGTTAATACAATTCATAAATATTGCCATGAACATCAAATGAATGTAGCAAAATTATTCATTGAAGATGAAGAAATGATTACAATAAGTACAACAATTACTTATGATGAATTTCGAGATGGATTAAGAAAAGCAAAAATACCGTTTCCAGTTGCTCAAATGGAGAATATGATGAAGTATTTGGTTAGTTAAAGGCTATTTTTACTTTCATTTTAAAACAATTACTGCTTATTCATCTTTTGAATAGGGAGGAGAGTATGAGGATGGTGCAATACCACTCAGGTTAAAAATTTTTTTTGTATTTTGTATTTCGCAATTTTACCTAGATGTTTCTTTTTTTTATTACAGTTCACTTGAAGTTGATTCAAGAAAAATGATGTTTTGACTTCTCTTGTTGTTGTTGCTGTTTGTCATTCTCTATCTTCGTCGATGTTACTCTACTTTTATTGATATTTAATTCGTCTGTGTGGTTGAATGTAATGACATGTTAATCGTCGTTCGATCAAAACTATTTGCCAATATCAATAGACTATTTGCGTATATACGAATTGCTGCCCTAATTATTGACTTATATTTTGCCATTACATTTTTAGAATATTTCTCTTTTTTTCCCGTTTTTTCTTCACATTCCATACTTGTTCGATCACGCATGCTTTCATATTTACTCGTAATGAACATACCTCACACACTGATTTTGCTATCTAATAAATCAAATATTTCTTTTATGCTGACAAACTATTTCCTACGTAGCTATTTATATATTTTTTTATTTAGTGTAATTAACACATACCATTGGTAAAAGTTTATCAATGATTTCTTTATTTGAAAATTTCAATGATAGACATACCAATGATTAAACAAGTATCAGTTTCCAAACTATTTCATGTGTTGGTGTTGTTGTTGTTTTCTCTTTTTCTTCTGTCTCATATCAATCTTTTGATTGGTATGCGTAACATAATTTGCATCAAAATTGAAACCGAACTATCAAGTGACAAACAATCGAGAAGCAAAATAGTGGTAGCTAATCATTCTACTTTTTCATGTCGATTAAATGTTCGCTTCAACCAACAACAAAATCCTAGGGTCAGAATAGAGTTTTTTCATCATTATATACGATCTATTGAAAATACTTTTGGCTTCATTAATTACTTTGCCGAATAGTCAATATGTACTTTTCTTTCGTTGCAATTTTGATTCTCAGTGCTTTATGTAGATGTCTGCTGCTATTACCTTCCGATGGCATCACTCATGCTGAGTTTCGTTTTTCGTATGCTGACTTTTTTGTGTTATAGACATATGTTTTTTTTTCAGTGTTGTACCATGGCATCGCTGCGTGTACGTTTTCTTCCAAAATATGAAGTAAAAAAAAAGAGTCGAGAGAAAGCAAAAGAATACTTGTCCCGGATAATGATGATGCTGTCGACTAAAAAACCTAACGAAAAAGAACGATGAAAGGAGATGAAAGAGGACAAACCGTGGGCAATAATAGAAACAAAAAAAAACATTAAAACAGCTTCAATTTACTTATTTATATCGTACGATTTTTTTTTGATCAAATTCTTTGCTTATAATGTCATTTAGTTATTAAAATGTACGTACGGGGCAGTGTGAAGAAAGTGACGTTTGACACTCAATCGCTATTTCGTGTTTGTCTCTCTCTCTCTCTCTCTCTCTCTATATATATATATATATATATATATATACACGTATGTATATCAACTGTTTCCCAAGGCAAAAGGAGAACGAATAATATTCATGTACATCTGTTTGTCGAGCTAAATTATGTTAGGAATGAGAATTATTTCTATGCAATCTGCGTATCTCTCTCACAGTATGTTCGTTATGTTTTTTCTTTTTCTTCTAAATGAACGAAAGACAGGGAGAAAATTTTTCTTAGAAAATTGAAATCGTTTATATATTTTTCTTGTCATTCTAGAAAAAAATAAATAACGACACGTTTATATCATGAACGGAAATTCTATTAATAACAATTTAATGTGCAATCAAAACCAGATATCAAAAAATCTTCCTTTGAAAAAACGTCGTGCCTACATGATCGATAACTTGACGTCAAATAATGAACAAAATGAATATCAACCGACAATAGCAAAACAGTAAGTTTTAAATAGTAAACTTTTATTCTCATAGGAAATAAAAACTCTATATTTGAATTTCATCTTTTCAGAGCCTATATAAAAGAAGATCCACTTCAAATCTACATTCCAGCTCCACCCATCGCACCAACCCCACCATCATCGCCACACGTCGAATTATTACGACAACAGTATGCTTATTTATTAGTGAATCCAACTGATGTGATGAAACAAAAATATTTTCATCCATCAGCTTATGATTCTATGATTGCACAACAGTATCTTGATAATTATCGAACATTAGTTGAACAACAACAACATCACCTACGTAGTTATGGCGTAGTCGAAGGTATGCCATGTTTACCGTTGCAAAAACATCTCGACATTCTTTTCTTTTTCTTTAATTCTAGATCAACCAAAACAAACAGATATGATAATAGACGAACATTTTAGAAAATCTTTAGAAAATAATTACAATAAATTTACTGGCCGGTGTTTAACTCCTGATGATTCATCATCCAATAGTTCACCGATTGAACGAACACCAGGTTTGTTTTATTTCATTAGAAATCCATTTTTTTTTTGTTGTTTTTCAATTATTGATTTTCAATGTTCTGTTTTAGTTGACTCAATTGAAGAACACTTCGCTCGTTCTCTTGCTAAATTTCGACCATCACAAAATGCATTATCAAATGACGATAGAATATCATCGATTAATCATCAATTAACTGAATCAGTTGTTGACGATCATTTTGCTAAAGCATTAGGATCAACAACATGGCAAAGACTGAAAGAAAAACTATAATTAATTCTAGTGAATTGTTTTTGTTAGTTATTTTCGCTTTTCTTAACATTCTGAAGTCGCGCGGTGTCACTTTCTATATGACAAATAGAACACTTTATGAAATATTATAGGCAAACAAAAATTCTTTTACTTTATTAAATAAGTCGCCAGGTTGACAACCGTTATCATATATGTTGAAATTAATTTTTAACAGGATGGAAGGTATCTTTGCATGTGTAAATCGTTCGAAATGAAGTAGTGACCGTATTCAATCGCTTCATTAGATCAACAACAACTGGACCAAATGATTTTGAATAGATTCTATGAAAGACAATTTATTTCTTTGAAAAATCAGAGATAAAAAAAACTTTTATTTATAAAGTCAAAGATCACATATGAAAATAATACACTTTCAACGTGCAGTTCTTTTCAAAGAAAATCAAAATATATTTGTCCTAATCTCATACGGGACTCTCAGATCCTAATCGAATACATGGATCGAATATAAAATTCAAGGGCGTGGGTGCTGGTATGGGTGTTCTTATTTCTCTTTACACCTATACCCCACCCAAGATCTTTTTTAAACTATCTTTTTTCTTATCACTTATCGTCATTCCCAGCTCAGATATACTCTTTCAATTAATTTATAAGTATTTATCAATTATAGATTACGTTCAAATTAATTGTATAAATCGATAAATTCATTGATAGTCATTTGTTAAGAGTGATAATATATTGAATTAAAAGACAGAACATTTTTTAATTCAGATATTTAATTGATTTAAAAGATGTTAAATTACAAAATTGGATTAAATAATTTTTTTAAAGGTATCATTTCGCCAGAATAGATACTACTGTATTAAGTTAGGCACTATTGATATAATTTAGATATAAATTGCTATATTTTTAGATATTGCATTAAATGCATTCCCATTCAAATCAGCTGTCTTGCAAATTAGCTATATTAACTAGCGACATCTATTTGCGAGCTGAGCTTTTTTTTCTCTTGGTTGCTGTCGGAAACGCACCGATGTTTTATGAGCAGAAAATGAAAGGTTTCAATTTTTTCTTTTTTTCTACTTGTGTTTTTTATCGATGCTCTTGATGTATTTTATCAATAGGTTTATTTAACCATTTAACATGCTTTTTAATCATACTATTTTTAGTGATCATGTCAACAAAACAATCAAAACAGATTGTACCGAAAAACAAGGCTCAACCGAAAAAGCGTCCATCCGTTCGACCTCGTCTTGTTTTCGAAGAACCACACATATTTCGTGTTAAGAGTGCACAATCACTTTCACATTTACAAGAAAGTCGTGAATTTCTTCCTTGTGCAGCTTGTCTTACAGAAGATGAACGACGACAAGGAAGATCTGATCGACCACATTCTTCGTACAGTCGTCAACCACCAGCTCGATCTCGATCATCTGAGCCACGGCCATCAACAGGAATCAAAAAGAAATCTCGAGCACGACCGTCAGCTGCTGATTTAGAACGATTAAGTCGACCAAAAACTATACGAGAACAACCAGTATCAGATAACTGTAATTGGAATAATTTTATTAAGAAAAAAAGCAAATACGGTACGAATATAGATATTTATTCAAAGTTCAAAATTCTAATACATACTAATTTTTAGCTATCAAAACACCGTATGCTTTATGCAATTTAGCATATGGTCATGAAAGTTCAGAAACTCGTCCACCATTTGCTAACTATGGTGGACGTTACGATGATAAACATCATGGAGAAAAACGAACATTCAATTCTTTAGCTATTCATGTATGATCAATACGATTAGCTTTTGTAATAATTAGTTATTTGTTGTTGTTATTTCTTTATTCTAGCAATTGAAACATCATGAACATGAAGAAGAACGTTTATCAGAAGTACTTCGTGAACGACGTCTTCGTCTACAAGCAAAAATGTATTTTCGTGAAATGGAAGAACGAAGAGCTCGTGCACAAGAATTACATGATCGTGCAGCACGTGCTTCAACTGAATATCGAGATAATTATCGACCACCCTTCAACTAAGACAATGACGGCGCATTTTCTCGACATTAAATTAGACTTTCTTTTTGTATTTTTCAATGATAGTTTTAACAAAAAAAAAAGAAATAATCCTATTTGTTTTTCAATTTGGAAAGTTTTTCTTTTTTAAATATTTTGACAATTTGAGGATTGTTATCTCATTTGTACTGAATTATTTGTATTCAAATAAAATCCTTTTAAATTTCGCAAAAGAAAAGACGCAGCTAATCGGCACTGCTCGAGCTTTGGTTTCGGCAATATTTATTTTAAATTTAAAAATAATCTCTGAATTTATTTAATTTATTTCACGTAGGACAGAAAAGAAATCAGAAAAAATTCATCTTAAAAAATAAATATGAAGAAAATTAACATTTCAAAAAGTTAATTTCAAAAGTGAAATATAAAAAAATTAATTTAAAATAAAATGTGAAAACATAAATATAAAAATTAACCAATGAATCAAAAAAATCTGAAATTTCGTTTAAACAATAATTTAGAAATTAAATTAAAAACAGCTTGTTAGCGCAGCTTTTTCGGGGCTAAAATGTAGAACTCACAAATATCCCTTAGACTGAAAAAAGTAATTCCAAATAACTCAAATCAAAAATTTACTTTAATTTCCAAAATCTATAATCATATCATTGCAGATTTGCTGATGACTGTAATGAAGGGTTAATTGTTAGCTGGTATGCTTAATAATGGCAGACTAGTTGCTAAGGTATATAATGGACAGCTCTTGCTTTATTCGTATAGTCTGTAATCAAAAAAAGAAGAAATAGCAGCTTAATTAGTGTAGCTCCTAATTAGCATAATTTTAACCTCATTAATGTCTGTAGTGGGCAGGGGTGGGGAGCCGTAAAAATCTCACTTTTAAACTTACACTCACCATTTTCTTTGAAAATACAAGTAACGCGACGTAAGCGTCGCTAATCCTCTACTGAAATGGGTGACCATGTTTAATAAATAATGAACAATCACACAAGTTTCAGCGTAAGAATTCAGCAATGCTATTTTCCATGTCTTTCTGTAGTGATAAATGTATCCAACGTATTAGCTATTGTGTATAGCTGGATGTGGATTGTTGGATGACCTTTTATTTAGATTCAATTACTAAAAATCTCATTGACAGTTTCATAAGTAATATATTGCTTAGTCCGAGAGAGTTTTTAATATTTAATTTGATTCTTTTAATA